AGGGTTTTTTAGGCGTCATAGCTAGCGCTCCATATGCCTTTTTGTCCCATAAACAAAAATTTAAAATGAGTCAAACAAAAAAAAAAAAAAAAATCCTTAGCTTTCAGAATCATCAGCGAACGGAGAAGAGATCTTATCAATATATTCGTTATACTTTAATACCTACTTTTATTACTAGCTTTCTTGACCACTCTCCGAGAAACCTTATTGGCCCCAGTTACAATTCATTTGACTTAGAATTGGCTGCCGCCTAATCCTAGTGGGACTTGCAAGTTATCTCCTACATCTTAGAATGTTTGAGAATTGATGGCTATATACAGAATACTAGTACAGGCTTATAGACTTACTCTTAACTTTACAAGTTTAAGTTTTAGAATACTAGGCTTTAGCTATTTATACTTCTTACATTCATATTACATCATTTATTAATGATTGGAAATGATAGCTTGGCTATAAAAATCTCAAAAGAAGAGACCTACTTCTTGCAGGACTGGTTTATTTACTATAAATTGGTTCTATAATACAGGAGTTACATGGATAGATTATCATTTGTTCATTTAATGGCTTATCTGCTTGCTTATTTATTTGTTTGCTTGTTCATTCATAAGGTGGTTTAGCTGTTTGCATGCTAGTTAGCTTTTCTTTATTAATTTCTAGAGTATACTTAGCTTTTCAGGTATACTCTGGCTTCAGACATACTTTTGAGTTTTAAGAAAGTACTTGGACAATGCTAGTAGGAGTATACAGATCCAGAGATTTGGAATCTATCAGAAGAAGTGAAAAGAAGAAGTGAAAGGAAGATGTAGTAGAAAGATACAGTAGAAAAAGACCACTGGAGAAGAGAAAAGGCTTTGGAGAGAAACTATTATGCTTGTTTGTTTTCTTATTTAGCATAAAAGTCTTTAAGTGGAGAAGAAGAAGAATATAGGTACAAGAAAGAATAGGTAGACTTGGTTTGTTTTCTTTGAGTTTGCTTTTGCCATTTGAGTTATCTTTAGAAATATATAATAGAATGTAAATACAGACTTTCTGAGAAAGCAGTTCAGTGCTGGGAAAGTACTTTGGCTATGAAGAATACAGAGAAATAAAAGTAGTAGAGCAGAAGAGAAAAAACAAAAAAGTTGAGCAGAGGCTATAGACAGTAGTGGAAGTTCATATTTCTTTGTTAGCTTGTATTTGATATTATAAGGGGAGGGAGCTTACTTGAGAGGACTAGAGGACTTGGTTTGTAGTTCATTATTTATGTTTTATTATTGTTATAATAATTATGATGCTATTCACTCAAAAGTTACACCTTGCTCAGTGCAACATATAATACTTAACCCTGTATGAAGCTAGTACTATACCCTAAACCTAGTATCTTTTAAGAAATTTAATCCTCCTTTGTATCAATTAATAACATCTCACTTTCTGTTTACATCAATTTCATATAAATATTACAGGCAACCTTTATTTCAATTCTATATTTGTATTTCTAGTACTGATCTGCTGATGAGATTTGTATTTTTTATGTACCAGATTTTCATACTCTGCAAATGCCTGTATTTAAAGAAGTGGTTGGTCTGCCATAGAAAATAATTTTCAATTTGTTTGATTGTGATTTGTAATAGTAAAGAATGGTTTCTTTTAAGGGATATAGTTCTTTAGCTGATAATTATAGATAGGTAAAATTAATATATTATCAATTTTGTGACATTGTTATGGTGCTGGCCATCTATAACGTTCCCCAAGTCTATTGCAACGGGGACGCAGGCTTGGAATGCAACGGCAGGTTAAATGGGTGCTGTTGTGTCATCGTAGGGTTATTACCCAGCTTTCACAGTATGATAGTACTAAATTAACCTGCGTCCCTGTTGCAATAGACCTGGAGAACGTTATAGACGGCCAGCACCATACAACTGAAGATTAAATTTCTCAAAAGATGCTGGGTTTAGGGTAGAGTGCTGGCTTCATACAGGGTTGAGCATTACATGTTACACTGAGCAAGGTGTATGATACCTTTTGAGTGAATGGCACCATAATATAAGTGGGAAACACCATACCTGATGTAGGATGGTACCACTTTCTCAATCAATAAGTACTTACAAAGACCCAACAAGAACTTTCACCTTGATAAACCTGATAGGCATATTGAATGGGAGAGTCTACTGGCCGAACAGCATCCTTAGTAATATGTAACCTCAAGTAGGTTGAGAACTACCAGGGTATAAGAGCAATGCTCGTCCCCTGCTGCAAGATATCCTACAATGATAAATATATGAACTTGAAAAGCAATCGTTACAGTTAGTTGCACGTAAATAAGAGTTAGGTGAGTGGTGCAATAGTTGTGCCAGAGTGAGAGTCAAGAGAGTGTGTATGAGTGGTGAGTGAGTCTAGTCACTTGTTCGTTTCAAGATGCCACCGATCGCCAAAAAATTCAAACAGTGTATACCATACCTTACTGGATATCCAGCCAGAAGGAGACTTTTCATGTAGTACTAGCTTGGGGCGCGGACTGCGCCTGGACGAATGTAGAATGCATGGTTGTCATGCGGATACATCTGTTCCCTCAGTCATTGACAAACTTGATATGAAGTTTTCTTTTTAGTCTTTTTTTCTTTTTCGAAAAATGTTCTTCAGTCGTGCACGAGGCATAAGACGAGGGAATATTATCTCCCTATTTATTTCTCAACCCACCGTGCCGCTGTCAGCCGCCCTCCTTTGGCCCGCTGGGCTTTGACCATGGCGCTGTCCTCTCTTACACCTTTTGATATGCACCTGTGATGCCGCGATGTACTAAGACTTATCGCAGTCAGATCCTCACTTACTCAAAAAAATTACTCCAATCGACCAGTCATGGTATTCGCAAGGGCACCCTGCTGAACACAATGCCCGTATGATAGGATACGTTTGCTAGCATCCGGTAGTCAGTCATTCCAAGGTCCCGACGGGTGGTAAGCATCATACCATGTGAACAAAGTACTGTATGATACTAGGGTATATGCAGTGAGGTGGTAAACACGGAACTGAATTTAAATAATTCAGGGGTAATGATAGGTAGGGGGTGGAGTACCATCGTCAAGGTTGGACGGCATGGCGTTGGTTCACTCGCGCTGCGCTACGCTGCAGGGTAATGATATAGTAAGCGAGAAAAGGAAACTAAATCTAAACATTAACGTCTTCAGATAGATAGACAGACAGATAGTATCATACACCTACGCACACACTCTCTCTCACTCTCACCGTCACTCTCACACAGTCAAAGGAAGGGGGAACCTGAGACTGGACGAAGGGAGAAAACTTACAAACTATCGATAGACATGACATGCGTTACAGTACTGTGTACCGGCATCAGTATCATACAAACTGCAACCCCCCACCCAGCGGAAAACCGTTGCGGTAAGTTACCACCCCACATCACTGCACTTCTCCGCACTACCTGTACGGAAGAAGAGGTTCACCCTGTCCCCCATCTTTGCCCGGCCCAAGTTAGTTGGTGGTTAGTCGGGAGTGCGGGTGGGCATGGTCAAGTTACGCCGGCTTCATGACCCTTTCCAGGGAATTTGGAAGGCGGGGGTGGCGCTGGGTGATGGCTTCTCCCATCCCCCGGGAAGCCCTGGGTGGGCGCGGTTGGGATCTCCGGTCTGTGGTGGTTACTATTGGTGGGCAGGTCGCGGGCGAGTGCGATACTGTGGACGGGTAACCCGTATAGCGCAGTGGACGTGGGCATTTGGTGGTCTAAGTTACTGGGTTGGGATCCGTTCGGCTCTTAGGTTATCGCTTTGTCGCCAAGAGCGAATCCATCATATCGTGCTGTGTGTCTAACTCATATACCGCTCCCGTAACGGGATAGAGCAGAGCAGAGCAGCTTTATTTATTCACTCAATCATTAACTAGCGACTCATCATCAATCGTGGTAGAAGCATCTGACAAACACATGAATGTGTAACTAAAGGTTCATAGCTGTATTGACTATTCCAGACCATCTGGCACATGATATCTAACGGCCGGTCCGTACAGTAGTTAACATAATATGACCAATAACAGCCTAATCCAACGCCAAAAGAAATACAGAATCCCATAATCCCAATGCCTCTATCTCCACTTAAATTGTGGGCAATGGTCTTTCCCTCCTCTTTGTCCACATTGCGGATGTCCCCCCCCCCTGGCCCCCGGCGTCCCCGGTACGATAACGGGCATATTGCTCAACCCCACTCGCACTCGCCTGGTCGCCCCGACGCCTGATGTGGAAAAAGAAATCCCCCACTATAGAAACGGAATGAAATGAGTGAGAGAAGAGCAAAAAATAAAAAAGAGAGAAGAACAGAAAAGCCCCAGGTAACTCTAAAAAAAAAACATAAAACATTAGATTATTCGTAAGCAGAAACCCCGGACTCCACCTTCCCCCGATCCCTTAACCAAATGTACAAAGCTGATAGATAGTGCTCCCTACGCATGGCGTAAGATATATGCGTTAAAGCGATTACGCACTCTGAGGAAAGGAGAATGGCAAAAAGAAATGAAAGGGAAAAAAGGAGAGCTAGAGTGGACGGTGGGGTGAGAGCCCACTCCACTAGTATCTTAGTTTGCCGACAATGGAAAAGGTGTATGCTGCTTCGGCCTCGCCTTTCATCTATTTAGAGAGTATTACATTAGCGCACTGTCCCGTTGATAATTAGGCTTTCATAAAGAGGAGGGGACATGCCTGCATCATATAAACAATACTCTTCGCGCCGATACCGCCCACGCCCCCCGGGACGCCGGTGCCATTCTCCTCGCCCTCGCCGACAAGAACGCTAACGGCAATACCAGTTCTAGCTACGCGCTCGAACGACGATTCTCCCAATACCTCATCGAGGAATACCAATGTCCCCGCTTTATTCGTCACAATGATCCTCTTTTCCTCTCCGATACTCAAGCTATTCGGCTGTTTCTGGCCTGTGTTTGGAGCCTTGAGGATGCTTAATCTCGCATTTCCAAGATCTCTCCACTTGGACGCGTTTTCGCGGCGGTAAAGTCGTATTTTGAAGACGGGGTTGCCGTCCACTGCAGGCATACTTAGAGCAGAGGGGCTTCCCCCGCGGGAATCACCTGCATTGCTTGAGGAACTGGACGCAACTGAGCTGAGTGGGGGGCTCTTGAATATGCGGTTGTGCTGGCGGAATCTGGAGAATGCCGAAGAAAGGCTGCCGACTGAGGTCTCGGATGGCCCGGAAGATATGATGCTTCCTGGATTACTGTCTGCGATCCCGTTGCGATAAGTCTTTGATCTTCCCCAGCTTCCCCAGCCTCTCTTCACGCTGCCACCAGCGGTAGTTGACGAGGCATCACTAATCCCCATCTCCGAAGATGCGAGTGAGCTCAGGAGCGTGCTCGGAACTTGGTAGTTGACCGGGTACACTCTGCTGTTGTTGATCGTGTTGTAAAGGGTTTCACATTCGGCGGGGGATCTGCAGCGGAGCATAAGACTCGCGCCAGAGAATTTGGAGTTTGGAGGCGTTCTGATAGAAACATCAACGGCAGTACCACGTCGAACGGGTGTAACAGGATTTAGATCGAGACTAAACACCGGCGTTGTAGATTCTAGCGATGTCTCGGATAGTTTTTTTGGCAATGCGATATCTGTTGGGGGCGTATCCTTATCGGCGCTAAGCTTTTCGGACGGGGTGGCACTGCCCGGGCTGGATGGGGGTGATGCAGACGGGAAGCCTTCAATATGCCCGGAGGTTATCACGATCCTGCATTCATTCGAGTGCAGTTTCTCCCACTGGTTCGTGGTCCATGTGAAAACCCAAGCTCGGAACTTGTACGCATGTGGAGTTGGGGCTTGAATAGCAGGAGCGGGTGAGGCCAATGTCAGGGATGAAGGCCTTTGCCTTGGAAGTGAAATTATCCCCGATGGCTCCTTAGATACCCGCCTGGGGATCGATAGCATCGGGGGAGGATAGTCTCCGTCTTCTTCTTCAGAACAGATGGAAACAGCATCGTCAGATTCCTCGGCTTCTGATGAGGATTCCTCTGAACCCGACGATACGGATTCATCGTCCGCCGTTTCAGCATTATTGCCCTTTTCTTTAAGCTGTAGATTCATCTCCTCTTTGTCCTCCTCTTCCTCGGATTCCGACTCAGACCCCGATGGCGATGATGGGTCGTATTCATGCTTGAGGGGACTGGAAGTGCGGCGACGGACATTAAAGCCAGATTTTCCAGAAGACAGAGAAGAGTTGCTAGGCATTGAAGGAATTACTGATGGCCGAGAAGGTGAGTTTGAATCGCGTGCTTGGGAGGTAGTAGGGACTCTATGGGGAGGTACCGGAGGAGGTATATCAGCCTTTGCGCCCTTTTTAACTGGGGTCAGAGATTCTGATTCCTCAGGCTTGGAGTCGGGGGAAAGGTTTGGTATATCCTCGAACGGCGATCTTAGGGCAGGCTTCCCTGGAGCAGCGGTAGAACGGGCCTCATCGTCGAGATGGATTGACCTTGTGCGCGAAAGGGTGTTAGCCGGGGCGGGCACTAAATAGTTGGAGGGTTCTGATGGGCCGAGCGTGAGGGCGTCAGAGTCGTTGCTGATAGTTGAATTCCTTCTTGACGGCGAAGGCTTGCTGGCTCTGCGAGAACGTTGGAGGCTCGGGCTCCGACCCTCGCTAGGGGCTGAGTACCTGTCGCTCAATGTGTGCAAGGACACCGAATAACGGAGAGGTGGGGAAGCGAGGGGATCCTGAGCTCCGGGTTCGGGCCCGGCACTAATTTTGGTCTCGGGGGCCTTGAAATGGCCGCCGAGGAACTTATATCCATCCACAATGCATGGCATCACGGCAAAGTCGGGTGGGAGGACCTCGTATCGCTCTGCCGGCTTAAATTCATTCGTGCCCTCTATCCCAGATACGTTTTTTAAGGGTGGCTTGACTGTCTTTGGGAGTTCTACAACAGTGGGTGCCGGTTCTTGCCTTTGTGTTCCCCTATCAGGCTCAAGGAATGAGAAAACGTCAACAGCACTTTCTGATTTCTCTGAATTCTTTGCCGTTTCCTGTTCTGATTTTTGGGATAGAGCCTTTGGTGTCTTTGGCCCATGAGAGGAGTGCGCCGGAGCTGGCGTTTGCCAACGTGAGGAAAGTGTTCCCTCTTCAGTCAATGTCTCTAGCGTGTGCATTTGGTAAGGCTTGTCCGTAAAAGGTCCCTCCGGAGGGATCGGAATCAGTCCGAGCATCTGAACCCATTCAAATCCGGCCGCGGTGGGAGAGCCCAAAACGAGAATCTCCCGAAGCTCTGCCTGGCTGTTTAGATCCATCCCCCTGACCATCACGACAATTTCACCTGCTGCGTCACCCGTCCTGGCAGATATAGCACCCAGGGGGATCGGTGCGAACAAAAGCCATTTATCAGAAACCTCCCCTTCCCCGAACTGGCAGACTAAGATTTCAGTGCGTTCAGGTCTTGCCTTCCCGGCAGGATCACGAAGTATCAATTCGACGTTGCGCTGAAGGACCCTTCCGGATGAGTGGTGAAGACGCATGTAGAAACTGTCACGTGCCCGTACACGCTTAGTTGGATCGAGTGAAACGTCATGCCGGGGAAGCAAAGAGTGGATATCAGAGACATTAACAACACTTATTGATGCTGCAGCCTCATCCTCAATCCGTGCTTTCTCCTCAGCAATCTTACGGCGGGCCATTGCTACGACCCCGTGAAAGGCTGATGTTAAGGCCTGTGTGGAAGCTGAAGGTTGTAATATATTTATCCTCTAATCCTGATATTTAGTAACACAATCCATTATTTCAAAACGAAAGCATAGGGGAATGGAGTGATTCAAACGTCCGCTGATATCAACAAGTTTTCACAACAGTGGGCCCGGAGCTCTACGCTCGAAAATTTGGGGGATGAAAATGTTCATACCTTGAAAAGTTTCGCCAAAACCTTTAGCCTCACGAGTGGTCTCTTGAGAAGGAATGCCACATCCACCTTTTCGCCTTCGTCTATGGGCTCTGGTGGAGGCGGCATGGCCCAAGTCGATGGATCACCTTCATATGATATAGCAGAAGGAGTTGGTTGTGTGAAACTATATAGCATTTCCAAGCCTTGCCTCGTGACCTCTGCTTGGTGATCCCTAAACTCCTTCTCATCCTCATAATCCGGCGCTAGGGTCACGACAACATCTTGGAATCCCATTCTCCAAACAGAAAGATACTCTTCGTAGACCCTCCTAGCATCCATAGCCCAGGTCAGGAGTTCGTTGGGATTTTTCCTAGGCATCCTCTCATGAACTGTTTTAAGACGCTCCAACGAAATTCCCATATCTACAATGGGCCTTGTCGGATTTGTTGCAAAGCCTGTCCGAAGGCCGTAGTTGTCGGGCTTCCCTCCACTCAAAGACCGACGTCTAACAACATCATCCGCACGCTCCAGCACAGTCTGGAAGAGCACAGGGATCACATCTTCGACTAGGGTTCGGAGCTCACGGAGATATTTGACTTCCTCTGTAGCTAGTTCAGCCATCAAATCTTGAATGGTGATTGTTGAAACCTTTCGGGACGTCTTCCCGCGGCTTCTGGTTCTAGTGGCAGACCTCAAGCTTTTGCTTGGTTTTGATGTTGAGAGTATCGAGATGAGATCAGCATGTTTCGTGTACTTTCGTTTCAAGCTAGCCCTTTCAGTGAGCAAACCCGGGGTGTAATAAACCTCGCCACCCGGTTCCTGGGGAGTCTGCATAGGGGGAGTTTGGCGCTCTGGGGAAGGATCTCTGGGCTTGATATTGAGAGGCTTAACAGTAGACAAGGAAGCGTCTGAAGGCGCCCTCGTGGACCCATTGTCAGTGTAAGAGCGAGCCTCGCCCCCGTAAGTGGGAGATGTAGGCGTGCGTGTTCCTTGAGATCTAGCTTTTGATCCCCTTCTTTTTGGTTTCGGAGGTGAAGGTGAACTGCGGAGACTTCTCTTAGGGAGCAGCGTCTGAGATTCTCCAAGCAAAAAATTGCCACTCAACCTCCGGGATGCAGTTGCGAGGGGTTTCTTCTCAGCCAAAGCTTCCGGTTCCGGTTGAGACCAGACTTGCACTTGCGGTTCCGGGGAAGCTTCAGTATCTTGGGCAGGATTAGCGCTTGGTTGCTGCTCTTGCATCGTTTGCGAGCCCGACTCCGATCTCGTACCCGATTTAGTCTCGGACTCGGACTCGGACTCTGTTTCTGTTTCGGTCTCGGTCTCCGTATCTGTATCGGCAGCCCAAGCCGCAGGTGTCGGAGGAGGCGGTGTTAGTCCTTCTGCCGCTAGATGGCTTGCTGCTATCTCATGATCCCCGTCGCTGCCTTCGCCTTGCTCTTGAATAGACCCGGCAGGCTTAGAATGGTCAACAGAGTAGTTGAGAACGTCGAGGTCTTCCCCCTCACTGGAAGAAGCCGATTCGGCAGCTTGGGTTGCCGCTTGCAGTTCCGCTTGAAACTCTGCCTTGACAGCTTTGAAAAATGAACTTGTAGCAGATGCCAACTTTGGCCCAAATGTCCCCGTGCTGATGTCACTCTTTTTCTTCCGAGGTGTAGGGTCTACTGATAGCTCGGCCTGCTTGAACGACAGAGGCTCAGATAATGGCGTATCTGTCTGTGTTTCCACCTCTTTTGCCTGGCCATCATCCTGTGCTGACAATCTTTTGTTCTTGGTATTTCTTCTCTTCGGCGGAGAACCCTCCATTGAGGACACTGGTGTTGCAGGGGCGCTGGCAAAGCTTTTCCCTGCTTCGACCACAAGTTCCTCGACTGGTACTGCTAATGTTGTCCTTCTTGCCTTAACTTTAGTCCGCCTGGGTCTTTCCGGTATCTCTGGTGGCAATCTCACTTCTTCCTTGGGCGGCTGCTCTCCCTCAACAGGCGCAGGGGAAGGTAAACTTACGGGAGAGCCAGAATCGTCTCTCATAGCCTTTCGAGATCCCCGCCGCTTTGCAGGATCCGGCGAGGGAGTTGTGGCCTTGTATGGCAGCGGGGAGGTTTCCCCCCCGGATGCAAGCTTCTCCCACATCGAGCGACGCTCTGGTTTTATTCTTTGGGGGCTAGTCCCCCGTTTTGCTCCGCGTCGTCCAAGGAGTTCTAGGAGTGGGTCTTCCGGAGTCATTGGCCTATCGATCCTTTTGCTTTTAGATCGAGTCGGGGTAATGGGTGCTGGATCTGTCTCTAACGGAAATAGGGATTTTGTAGGTGGCTGTAGTTCCTTCTCTGACTCTGGGTCTGATTCTGTAGTTGACATCGACTCTGTTTCGGATCCAGACTCCGGCTCTGTCGGCCTAGCAGACACCAGCGATAAGTATCGCTCCATTGACTCCGTTTTCCTGATCTTGTCTTTCTCCCTCTTTCTCTCTTCCTGCCTCTGCTTTTCTCGCTCTCTCTCCTTCGCCCTCTCCCTCTCTTTTTCGCGCCGCCTTTGCTTTCGTCTTTCCATCTCTGCTTCTAGCTTTAATCTTTCAGCTTCCCGCTTGCGAGCCATCTCTCTCTCCTTCTCGCGCTGCCTCTCACGCTCCATCTCACGTTCTAGCTCCTTCCTCTCCAGTTCACGTTGCCGCAAGAGTTTTCGCTCACCCTTCTCCTTAATCTCTAGTTCTCTTTTCTCTCGCTCCTCCCTCTCTTCTACCTCTCTCCTCTCGTATTCCTCCCTTTCCAGCTGTTCCCTTTTCTTCCTATCCTCCCTGTCCTCCCTTTCCAACTCCCGAATCCTCCGGATTGATTCTTCTAACTGCCATTGCCTTTCAGCCTCCGGACTAGTTTCAGCGGCAGCCTCGGCTGTGCTCTCTACAACACTATCCTTCCCATCTCCGGGCCTTTTTGTAGAAGAGCTCGCTGGGCTTCTTTTTCTTCTTGCTCCCTTAGTCTTCAGCGGTCTGACCCTAATACCATCATCAAAGTCTTCCCACTTCTTTTTCAGATCCTGACCACCAACAATAGTGGATTCTTCAATATTATTCGTGCCATCGTTTCCCTCATCGTCCTTTTCCCTTCCTATAGCTTGAGCGTTCTCTCGGTCCTCTTCTTCCTGTTGCCTAATCAGCGCTTCAAAGTCTTTTTGAGCCTTTCGCTCCCGCCTCATCTCGGCTTCGAACTCTTCTTTCCGAGCACGAACACTCTTCTCACCCCTACGGACAGAATTCCTACTTCCACCTTCACTGAACCGAGCAGCTATTATTGGGGTCTTAGACTTCTTCGTGTAGATCCTAATCCCGTCATCGCAATCCCAAGCCTTGACCTCCACCTTGTGGGCGTCTTCCCCCCCTTCCGGATCTATTCCTCGTGACCGTCTCCGGAGGCCAGGCTCAGACTTTGTATCCTCAAACCTTATAGGTTCTTTCAACACCGGCTCCTTCGGCGCTTCCTCCGGTTCCACACCATCCCCCAGATTGATCCCCCCCGGGCTCTCCTTTTCCTTGCCCTTCTTCTTTCTGCTCGAACCCCGCCGCTTTACTTTCAAGGGTGTGACCCTGATCCCATCGTCGTCTTCTGGATAGTGCTGCTTTGCAAAAGCAATTCCAAGATCCGTGCCCTTTTCCGCATCCTCCGTGGGAACTTGCTTCCCAAGCTGTCTGGCCTCGGGATCAATCTCTATATCCGTAGCAATGGAAGATTTTGTTAACCCTCTTTCCCTATCTCTCCGCCTCTTCATCTTTCTTTCTCTGTCTTTGCTTCTTGCCCGCCTCCTCTCTGCATCCCGATCGCCATCGCTTGCACTATCCCACCCCTCCCGAAAGATCTTGGATATCGGCGGGGGACTAAGTGGCTCCTCCGCGACGGGGCGACGGTTCTCCAACTCTCCAACAGCAGACATTGACATTCCCCGTCTATGGGCTGCTGGTGATGGGGTAGCCGGTAATATGGGTGGAATTTCCAGAAAATCATCACCGGTTACAACCCCTCCACCAGCGGCCTGCCACCTTCGCACTCGCTCCCGTACACTGACAGTATCGTAGACGCCTTGCGCTGGCCCTAGATCTAGCTTTTTCGCCTTTTCGGTGCCTTCCTTTAACCGCTTGTGCATCCGATCATCAAGGTCATCCCCTCCACTCGTCGCTTTCTTGGACATAAACTTACGAGAGAGGCCCTTAAAAGGGTGGGACGATACCGAGGCATGAGGATTGACCCGCGGCGTTGGCTCATCATCCACAGCCCGGGGGTTCGGAGGGGCCTGGGAGGCGGATGAGCGCGGGGAGGGGGTTTTGCAGGGGATATTGTCATCGGGGTCAGTGGGCTTTCGAGGCGTTGTAGGCGGGGTTTTGATCACCATTATGATTTCTAGCCCGAACAGAATGAAAATGTTAGATGCATGCGAAAACTACGACGATGCGAGGATTAAAAAAAAAAAAGCTACCTTGACAAAAATTGTGCCTTCTCTCTATTCCCGAGAGGGCAGCGAGTGTTGCTTCTTCCCCGCCAGCGGAATTGAGAGTTTACAGTATTTGTGATCCCAATGATAAAGTCGATGATTGAATTGAAACCTCCAGAACAGCACCCAGCAGAGCGAAAGTTCCTTTCTGACAGCAACGCTTCAGCCGAGCCCTGCCCCCCCCCACACTGTTTATAGGGCTATGACTGGTTGGGTAGAGATACCCAGAGAAACTAAATCTGAGTTGTATCGTGCTATCAGAGATGACACTCGCTGCACGGGAATGCGGCGAACGATAAACCGGCTTTAAAATATTGCGAAGGGTGAGAGACTATCGGGTCTCAAAGAGATATCGAATTGTAACTGGAAACTGAGGCCCGGTTCCTTGATCAGAGCGACGTGGCAGCTAGCTTGGCGAAAGTGCTGATATTATAGCTTTATTATTATCGAAGCGAGCGGATCAAGAAGGGGCAATCAGAGAGCGTACTTGTGCGAGTAGCTATAGCGGTCGTTCGCGTTCCGACAGAACTCCCTATTTTCCGCGGGTCAGTTCTTAGATTTCAGGGACTTACCACCACTAACCACCCCACAATTCCTAGCCTTCTGTGGGCAGTGATTCCGGGATTTAGTATTCGACGGTTTTCGGTTACAACGTCCGCTTTTGCAACTACCGTATGTCAAGGGTGTTCCCCCAAAGGAATGGAAGGGGGAAAAGAGGAAAAGTGTAGACTCGAGGACAGTGGGGAATGTCAAGAACCTGCAGGGTGAAGAGCCGCGGAGTGAGGTAGGGCGAGCTCAGGTGGTTGTTCTGGATGAGGGGCGGATGTGTTAAGGTATTGATTTCGATTTACGGGTTTGTTTACTCATTGCAGGGATCAACAATAGTGTGACTGGTTGCGCCGACAACCTGCAGCCTTGGTGTTGACTGCACGTGTTCGGTGTTTCCCAGCGGTGGGATCCCCGGATTGGCCAACTTTGGACTTTTGGCTTGAAGAGGGCTCGTTGTCGGGCATGTTAATTTACAACCTCCATGCATCAGCATCAATTTTGCTTGCGATGCGACCGATACTCGAGCACAGCGATACCGTGCATGGTTTGTCATTCGCCCATCGTATCATCCGTAACTCGCCCGCGAATATTAAATGGGCCTGCTTCGCCTTGAACTCATACTTGAGTGCTGTGCACCAAGAGTGGAAATAACCATCGTGGGTTAAGCATTCTTTTTCACTTCCACAAGGTTCTATCATCAGGTCCTTTTTTTACTGCTTTAATACCTTACGCGTGATCCATGGCTACTTTTTAACACTGGCGCCGGTACCACCATAACAGTTCAGCTTTTGCTTTGTGATTGCTGCGCAGGGACAGGGTTAGCGGCCAACGGGGTTTGCAGATAAATCGGAGCAATTGTCTATCAATTCACGCAGCTGGCCCGGGGCCAACCAGGCGCCTCAAAAGGTGAGGACGGAAATCAAGGCCGAGGGAAAATACCATTGCTGGAAGTAACCAATTATCTTCAAAACCTTCTGCTACCGCACCCCAGCACAGTGGTCACCCTTGTCGGGGGCGGGCTGGTGGAATTCAGCGGCAATACCGGTATGTGGGAAAGTGCAGGGGCTTCCACCACGAGAGGAAGAGAGCGCGAGGTGTAGCAAAGGAAACAATTGATGGTAGATAACGCTGTGCTGGTAGCTCTGGATCGGGCGAGTTGCGGTACTCTAGGCTTTCTAATAGCCCAGAAATGGCGAGAAGTGGAAGGTGCGTGTACTGGTACTGCAGAAAGCAGGATCTATAGCGACTCCCTAAAATCGCGTGACTACGCTCTTCTGATCTCGCTCGATTGAACAGTAGTAGAGTCGTTGGAGACCCCTTAGGGTATAATTTGTCGAAGCCCTTACATAGATAGATGCTGCCAACAGCAAGCACTCGCGAGTGACATTTGGTATTGGTCCCTCGAGCGACAGGCCGTGATACTGGGTGGCTAATACTCGAGTGTTGTCCGAATACTCGTACTCTGCGGCCAGCTTCAAACTTTTCGAGCTGTGGTGCGGTAGGGTGCTGCGTAGTATACGGTACTCGAGTAATGGGGAGAAATTCTTAGAGGAGCCGCAATACGGTACTCAAGCACTCGGGTACCAGGGTTATGGGTAGTCCGCGAATAGACCACCCCCCTATGAGCGGTAGTTATGACGTGCAGTTGGGCCCATTGATTGCACCGGTACGGTCATGCTATTTGCACTAGTACTTGTACTTGTAACGAGGAATTTCGGGAGCACTTTGCGATTTCTATTGGTCAAGGAGGATCCATGGCACATTGGCTGGAGCGGTGTTGTTTTCGGATTAACTCCCTCACCTGAGGAAGTGCCGGCGTCGGGGAGTTGGGTGGAAGTTAGTTTTCTTCCTTCTTTCACGCAAAGACGATCCATGTAGAAAGCAGAGATCGGGGCAACTTCGGGCGATCCCAAAATGTCCCATGCCCAGTTGATACTATTTTAGGAGGCAGGAGGCATGGGAAGAAGCCCGACCACTCCACGAGAGCCTCTCCGCCCACAATACTCGAGTACCGGTATCATAGGACAGAAGAATGCCGTTCAGTTGGGAGGGGTGGAGTTAACGGTGGAAGAGGACGTGTTGAGATACCGGTACTTGTACATACCCATCGCTGCGCCAGCAAAACCCGGATAGCACATCCAGGTTTTCTTCTATCATAAGTGGAGCAGAGTCGGTATTGCGAACCACTGCGGCTTAGGGTAGGACGGCGCGATTCACGCAGAGTTGTTGCTAGTCTATGCTTCATCCTAGCAGGATCTCCCCGATAGGCTGTACGAGTACCGGTACTATACAGTACCAGCCGAGCCGAGTTGAATGAAGTCGGACGCTCTGTTTGGAGGCTGCCATCTTAGCTGGAGGATGGCGTCCCGGGAGACACTATGTACTCGAGCACGAGCACCGCACCTGAGCGCTGCGCATTCCAGTTTCCCAGTCTTTGAGCTCCCTTCCTCCATCGATTACCGGTAATCTGTGACTTACTCAAGTTCTTTTTTCCCCAAAGGTAACGTGGACGGGGAGCCCCTGCTGTGACGTGACCCGTAGAAAACACCCATGGTGCCAGAGGCCGTGGAGGAAAGTGTGTAACCTCCCACCTCCATCCTCTTGATTGGCGGAAGGCGGTGAACTGCCCTTCCGGTGCGGTGGACTATTTTATGGTTTAGAACGGTGGTGGATTCGATATTTGCAAGAAAACCGCCCTTCGCCGGGGGTTACGGTAAACTAAACACTTCCCCCTCAGTATGGTACTGGTATGGCCTCTTGCATCGTACTGATATTATTGCCACACTTGAACTGTTCCTATCGTAATCTCGGAACATTCTAGGGAGCCCCTAGTAAAGAGTGACAAATCCAGACGAAGGAATACAAGCAGAGCTGATAACCTGGATGCAAGGGGGCTGCTATAGATAGCCGCCACCGTTAATAGTTCGCAGACCCGATATGATCCTCCACCACTGCGGCACTGTGGGTTATAAGTCTTCTTCCCCTGGGCCCATGAGTTCGGATGGTTCCTATGTTTTGACAGCTTAAAGGCACTTTCCACCCGCTGCTGCCCCGTCCTTGCACCTCCCGCATGATACGAGGCAGTGCATACCCTAAGGTCCCGCTCCCGTGTGCCCGCTGTCCGCCGATAAACAAACTCTTGGTCGATCCGTCAGCTGACTTGGGGTGGCCATTCAACCGGGAAAAGTGACCCTGCAGTCTCTGCCTGCTTCTGCCTGCTTTCTCCTTTTTTTCTTTATTAAATTTTTATACTTCCACCAGAGCCTCGACTGAGCTTCCTGCCCCGATCTTCGATATCCAGGGATATCCCGAGCACCACCGGTTGCGTTGTCTGGGCCTTCGACATCGCCCAGGCCTCTACCGACGGTGTCGGAACGCTTCGTGGAAGCTTGGAAGTAATTCCGCTTTGCCCCACTACGAAATTCTCACCCCGCATTTCTCGATATTCGTTCGGCACGCGCCTCAAAAATCTCGCCGGAAGAAGCTTCAGGCGTGAACAGCTAAATCCCTCTGCGCTATGGAGGATGAGGATGGCCAGCAAGGGCAAGGGTAAGGATTTTTATTTTACTTTTACTTTTGCTTTGCCCCCTTTCCATTTGCTTTGTTTCCTTTCGAACTTTCTCCTCCTTCCTGTGATAGCTAACCCTTTCCCTTCCGTTCAACATAGACATCGTCGAACTCGGTCCGCCATGGTTTCCTTGCTCGCTCCCTCTCACTCCCATCGTTCGAAATCTCATTCTCGACACGCGTCGACTACAGCTACTCCCAGTTCTTCCCAGCAAAACATAGAATCACCCCCGGGTGCTACACCAGCACCAAGTGTCAAAGGCTCGGTCCGAGGTCCCGTTAAACCGGAACTCCAACCCGAAATGTCATCCTCTTCAACAGTGTCCCTTACCAACTCAGGAGTTCTGGTAGCAGGCCCCAGTGGCAGCGGGAGGACCGTGGAAGAGACGGTACGAAATTTTAGATTGTACGAAGCACTCCGGTGCGGGGATACTGCTGCGATTACACGCGCAATCCGAGAGTCATACGGGGAAAATGGGGTAAGGTCTTCCATTGCATCCTCGGCGGAGGCCTTTTCTAGCACTGCCAAGTCTTCCGTTCTTCACCTTGCTGTCCAATGTGCGGAACTTCCTGTCTTGGAGTACATACTTTCAACAACAACAACCGATCTAGATGCCGAATCGAGCCTACCGTACCTGGATATCAATAAACGAGACCCCAATACTGGCAATACCCCTCTTCATGTAGCTGCGCATCTGGGCCGTGCTGAGGTGGTTTCTCTTCTCCTTAAACAACCTGATATCAACGACAGCATCCACAATTACAACAACCGGACCCCCCTTGAGGTTTCCAGGACTCCCCAAATATTCCAAATGCTCCAACTTGCAAGGTCCATCTACCTCGAAGAGATCACCGAAGAACTCTATAACCTGATAAATAACCAGTCTTATAGCGAAATAGAGACCCTCTTGGAGATACCGAGAGTTAAGGGGCTGTTGGACCTGAATACGCTTGAACCCCCCACAAATGGCGGGTCAACGTTGTTACACGATGCGGCTAGGAAAAAGGACATCAAGCTTATCAAAATATTGTTGCTTCATGGAGCTGATCCCTTCCGAAGAGATAAGAAAGGGAAATTACCACAAGACGTGATCAAGGATGAAAAAACCAAGAACGTATTAAAGAAGAGTGAAGCTGCGAAAGCCGCAGCTAGGGGAATTGAGGAACGGGCTGTACTTGGGAGCGCAGCCGAGGCTGTCAGCGGTGCTCCCAGCATGGGGGCTGATGGGTTTTCTTCCAGCATTGGCGGGAAAGAGGGTAGGGAGACAAAAGGTTATCTTAAAAAATGGACCAACTATACTACCGGGTACAAGTTAAGATGGTTTGTCTTGGAGGATGGTGTGTTAAGCTATTACAAACACCAGGGTAATTCCGTGAATACGAATTTCCATTGAATGTCAGCTGACTATTTTTAGATGACATCGGTTCTGCCTGCCGTGGTGCGATAAATATGAGGATAGCTAAACTCCATATGGACCCCCAAGACAAACAGCGATTCGAAATTCACGGAAAAGGCAGTGTCAAGTATCATCTGAAGGCGAACCATGTTGTTGAAGCTAAGCGTTGGTATTGGACCCTCAATAATGCAATCCAGTTCGCCAAGGACGAAGCACGGGAGGAAGAGAGACGAAAGCGAGGAGAGGCAGAGAAGCTAGGAAAGATTCGGGAACAGGCGAGGAATGAGGACGGTGGAGCGGTAACCGACAAGAGCAGGCGCGGAAGTAAGGCTGGTAGCATGATCAGCGATATTAAGCGGGGTGGTCTTCGCACGAGGGGCGGCGGCCCCGCCGACGACGATAGCGATTCTTATGAGCCTAGTGTTGGCGCATCGGGGATTCTGGTTCGTAGGGATGGTGAAGGAGTTGAAGAGGGTCAGGATGTTGATGATGACGATTCATCTTCTCATGTTCATGCTGAGCCTCCTTCCTCAGATGCCCTTGCACTTACAGCAAATTCTGCGAGATTACAGCTCGATTTGTTGTCGCAAGTTGTACTTGCTCTGCAGTTTGAGCATGCTAATAACCCTTCCTTGACTCTGAGCGATCCCACCGTTACTGCCGCCTTGACTAGCTATGACTCTGCTGTTTCCAGCCTGAAGACCCTCATCGGCGACTGTTTAGCAATGAGCAAAGAGAGGGATGCTTACTGGAGGTATAGGATGGAGAAGGAGGTTGCGTTGAGAAGGCTATGGGAGGAGAACATGGCCCTTCTCGCCCATGAACAAGATGAGCTTGAGGGCAAGGTTATAGGAGAGAGGCAGAGGCGGAAAAAGGCGAAGAAGGCATTAAAGGAAGCTCTTAAGAGGAGCGAGAGTATGCCCCTGAGCCCACACGAGCTCCCAGAGGGTGCTGGCAAAGGAATTGAGGGTGTTGGTAGAAAGCTTGAAGAGGTGGAACTCGACAACGAAGGTGTGGCTAGAAGGGATGCCACAGACCCCTCGTTGGCCGAAGCGGTGGGGGAGGGTTTGAGCGATAGTGACAGCGACAGTGACGCTAGTGCCGAATTCTTTGACGCTGTTGACAATGGAGAGGTCGAAGTTATGACCGAAATGCCCACAAACATCAAGAGCCCAGGATCATCGGAAACTAGGGAACTCTTATCGCCGATAGAGAGCTCCTTAGGGGATGTGAGGGAGAAAAAGCTGGTCGCAATCAAAGGCAGTTTTAGAGGATACGAAGATGGTATACGAGAGAGGTTATCGATGGATGCCGATGATCGTCCGAAAATATCCCTATGGGTAAGTCTTTTTAAAATGGTCTTTTGGTGGCATTGTTTGAGTTTACACCTAATAGGGAATTCTCAAATCCATGATCGGGAAAGATATGACAAAAATGACGCTTCCTGTATCTTTCAATGAGCCAACTTCCCTTCTTCAACGAGTGGCTGAGGATATGGAATATACGGACCTCTTGGATCAAGCTGCTGACCGCTCTGAATCAACCGAGAGAATGGTTTACGTTGCCGCCTTTGCAGCTAGTGAATATAGCTCTACGAGTAACCGCGTAGCGAAGCCATTCAATCCGCTACTAGGAGAAACCTACGAATACTGCCGCCCAGATAAACAGTACCGATTCTTTATCGAGCAAGTCTCTCACCATCCTCCTATCGGAGCCGCATGGGCAGAGGCCGAGAAGTGGGATTATTGGGGAGAGTCTGCTGTGAAATCAAAGTTTTACGGAAAGAGCTTTGATATAAACCCATTAGGGACTTGGTTTCTGAGGCTCAGAACTGTCGATGGTACCGAAGAGCTGTATACCTGGAAGAAAGTTACTAGCTCTGTGGTTGGTATCATCACCGGGAGTCCGTCGGTTGACAATTACGGACCTATGGAAATCAAAAATTGGACGACAGGGGACACTGGTCTTCTCGATTTCAAAGCACGTGGATGGAGAGGTGCAGGATACGAAGTCAAGGGACGAGTCTTGAACTGTGATGACGTACAAGTATGGAGCATCGGCGGCCGATGGAACGACAAGATTTACGCTCGCCTGAGTCCTGGATACGATGCCGTCATTTCACCTCAAGATGCCGTCAGTGTTCGCAGCGGTAATCCTGGGTCCAATGCTGCCTTCTTGGTTTGGCAGAGCCACCCTCGCCCACCTGCTCCATTTAACCTTACCCCTTTCGCCATCACTCTCAATGCCCTGCCAGAGAGGCTGAAGCCCGTTATTTGCCCTACGGACACAAGGCTGAGGCCTGATCAACGTGCGATGGAAGAAGGAGAGTACGATTTCGCTGCAACGGAGAAGAACCGTCTCGAGGAGAAGCAGAGAGCCAAGAGAAGGGAGAGACAGGAGGCTGGCGTCGAATACAAGCCGAGATGGTTTGAGAAGGGAGCTTGTGACGTGACTGGCGAGGAGTACTGGGTTTTCAAGGGCGAGTACTGGAAAAACAGAGATGAGGTGGCAGATGGTGGTAGATGGGTTGAGGTCGAGGACATTTTTTAGAGATACGGCTTAGACGTTGAGAGGGGTGTTTGGCCCTTTCCCTCTCAGGCTGGGCGTGCGTGATAGGGGGTTGTCTTTTCTGGCTCATGCGATTGGAATTATGGGAGACTTTTGATTTTTCTTTGCTTTCCCTTCTTTACTGAAGGCTTGATGGTATTTTTTGTTGTAAGTGATATGGAGTAAGCCAACAATACAGTGTGTGAAAGGTTGCCTTGGGGGAGTTTGCAGGTTTGTTAACTTTCATCTCATCGCCAGCCAGCCCGTGATCAAATGTCGGTGGCAACGTGTTATATCTGGCAATGTCTTATCGACAGACATCCGAGTATATGCGTGCGTGCATAGTGTGTGAGTATCTGTACAGTACGAGTATTCAGAGAATGCACTCAGCTGCGCTGACCCACTGCACCACCACAATGCCCCAGACCCTTTTATCGTACTCACTTGCTTGTTAGACTTTTAGGTCACCGTCATTACCACAGCAAAGAGCTGCCATAACCCATGCCTACCCATATGATAGGTACGCTACACCCCGCCCCGCCCCGGCACCGTGTGCTACCGCACCCACCCCCTAGATGGGGACTTTCACTACAGTACCTTATCCAAAGTTCATGTGATAGGGACGATGATTTACCATAGCCAATTGACCAACCAACCAACCAACCTTGGCAACCTTGAACCTGGCAAATACAATTTAGTGCAGAACTGTGTAGTGCGATACCCGTGCAGCACCCAGAAGGGGATATTACTGTCATAATTATTACTATCCTGGCATAAGAGGGATGGTGTGGGATAGGAGGAGGACCGGTATACCGGTAGTACTTTAGAGTCCAGTGCGTCCCGGACAGCACGCCTCGATCGACTATTTACAGTGATTGGCGTCCCATGGGACCAGCGCTGATGGCCTTTCCAAGTGTAAATACCACCTACCTAACTTGCAGTATCATACCGTAACTCCTTTTAGAATTTTCCATCCAGCGTTGCCATAGTCGTCCTATGATCTGCTAACTTTACCCCGAAGAGGACCTGCGATGACTGATAACCCCTGCCATACCCGCTAGCACAGGTTCCGCTTGATCCGAGGTTTGTAATAGTAGTTCTCCGCATTTTTGGTGTTGGTCCACCAAGGGTTTGGCTTGAGAGGTGAGAGTCGTAGTGTATAATGGAAGTTTCCCCTATCAAGGTTCGTGGAGTGGCTTAGAGCCCTTGGGAAACGCAGTGTCTGAGAGGTGAAAAATTTGAGCTCGCCGGCCATGAGATCGAGCTCCCGGCTAGAATTGACTGAGCGAGTGGCCGCATGTGATTGCACCCCCGAATCGCGGACCGACACTCCTAACCACGACTTATCGATCATAAAAAGTTTTCCATTTCACACTCTTTCCTATATACGGAACAGTACATGATCAAACATTATCCGTGACCTTGACTTCAGCAGTTGGCGCCACTTTCTCCCCCAGGGTGTCCCCGGCCATGACACCCCCATCACCACTATCCGAGCCCTCCGCCGGAGCACGGTCAGAAGCCGGGGCTTTCATGAGCGGGTAGTGCCCCCTTTTCTCGTGGAACATCATCAACATAAACCCCAGAGAAACTACAATCCAGTAGACGTTATACGAAAGGACGGAGCCATATGTAGCGCTATTTTGCCATCCGAGGACTTTTGAATTAGCACAAGGGCTGGATCGGGGCAAATGGGAGCTTACTAGCATTGAAAATACCCCACCCGGCACCGCCTCCAGCACCCGGCGAACAGCAGTTGACATGCCAGACTGTCTTTCTGATATCATACGACCCAGGGCCTGAGCCGGTCTCACCCACATCACCTCCAACAAGTTTTTTGAACTACTCATGTTTAGTGCCCTGTCTCTGTGATACGAACCAGAATACCAACCTCATACATCTCGAATTTCCAAACCGCTCTAGATCCCAACCCTGCCGCAACCAAATACAACAACATGGTGCTTGCAATTAAAAACCACTGAATCCTTATTGAATCCCCCCCGCGGTAAATCCCCCAACTAATTGCAATCCCAGCCACCATACCAACAACAACCGGCAAAGGATACGCGCTAGCCGGCGCAGAAAGTGAAACTCCACCAACGAAGACAATAGCTTCTAGGCCCTCACGGATTACGGTTATGAAGGGAAGGATTATCATAACGTACTTTTTCGTCCACGAGCCGAGGGTTCGGCTCTTTTTCAGCTCGAGGGCTTCGGCTATCTTGACTTGCCATTTTTCACGAAGTTTGGAGATGCGGAGGATTGCGGCACCCATTACCTATCCATAGTCAGCTCTCTTCTCTACTTGGTTGGGCTGTGGACGGCTTGGAACGGAGATGGGGGGCAAACAGTGATAATGATACAAGCCAGCAGGCAAAATATCCCTTCCCAAAGGTCTTCACCCTGCTCCCAGAAGTTCCTGCCAATAGTATAGAATGCACCAATGAATGCTGCCCCTAACACGAGACATATGAAAAGACCAGCGAAGAGACCGATCCAGACTTGGCGGGTCAGGCGTTTGTAGGTTGCTTCATCATCTGCGCTTAAGGTCTGCTTGATGAATGCGAGGAGGACGGAGACTATAATTCCGGCTTCAATTGTTTCGCGGAAGACTACAAAGAATACTGTGGTTTGTGAGCCGCTGTCCGTTTGGAAGAGGTATGTTTCTGATTGGGTCCCGAGGACTTGCAGATGGGGATGCACGTGAAATATGGGGTATTGTAATGGGGTGATTCATGGGTAGGGATAAGGGAGAGGGCATGGAGACGGTTACCTGGAACTGCGAATACGTCTGGCATCTTTGCTTTGCGGAGTCCGATGGCCTTTGTCTAAGACTGTAGGAAGAGATATATCCGTAGAAGGGGAGGGAACGAAGGTAGATAATAGACTACGGGTACGCGGGGGGAGGGGAAGAAAGCTCAATTGATCGCCTCCAAAATTGCAATGTTATAATGATACCCTGCGCTATGCCGAAAAGCCCTGCCCCCCCCACCCCCGGTCATGCTACTGTACTCGTACTTTACCCCCCCGCAAAGCCAGAATCGAATGCAAAAGGGGGAGGGGTGACACCGTTGGCCCCCAAGCCAGAAACTGGTCGCCCCCACATATACCGTACCAGCACTCCGAAAGTACCAGTACTAGTACTTGTACGCCTGAACCCCCGTGATCGAGGGTGAAGTCAATCCTCGTTCCTCCATTCCCTGCACGGGGAAAAAGCAAAGAGAATGCTGTGGGGAACCAGGATCGATCCGGCCGTTCCACCGAGTCAAGTCTCGTTGCGGCCTGATGAACTGATCTGGCCTGATCAGACGAGATTGATATGATTGTTTGACATTTATCTTATCAATTGAATCGAAAGCTGAGAAAAGATCGGAGGGCCCTCATAGGATAGCAACGCGGGTGCGAAACTGAGGCGTTTTTAGCAGAGCAAGCCTCAAACCTTATAGGGTGGGAAGTGTGATACAGAGGAGGGAAAGTGATGTGATGGGGAGGAAGGGGTAAGACCCCCCCCTAGAGCACTGGCTTGCACTGTACGAGTACGCGGAGAGAAGAATGATACCGACCCGTAGTTTTTTTTATTTCGGTGTGATTCCTAGAAGTACGCCTCTCGCCCGTACAGAATGACCGACCTCTTGGAAAAGGTTTCTCACAATCAAGCACCCTTAGCAGCGCCGCTCCTCTCCTTAGCGAGAAAATCGCTCATAACTTGCCTTATTACTGGCACTTATGATTTTCCCGGAAAAAGGGCATGGTATCGTGCGGTAACTTAGTCCAAGTCCGTCCGTCTATTCGAGTACGGGATCGGATAAGGGACTGGGGAGAGGGGGTGTGTGCAATGGGTCATCTGATAATTCGCCTTTCTTTCCTCTTCCCCTACTGATTTGTTTTAGATAACTCACAATCAATAGATCAAAATCAAAGAATCAGAATGCTTTTTTCTCTCCCCCTCCCTCCATGACAAACACTCTTACCCACGCTGCATGCATCTCCCCCCTCTTTTGGTAAGGGTTTGATCCGTGATAACCATACACCAACGACCACTGCATCATCAGATAATGCGCCTCCAAGTCGCCGTGCGCCCTCCCTCCTCTACCTCAGCCCATACAACTGTCCCCGAACTTGCTTCTTCTTCAACTATTTGACCCATCCCCGGTTGCATTGAAAGGCAGGGACGGAAAGAGGAAGAAAGAATCACTTCTATAATCCCAAGAGACTTCCAGGTAGCGGGGGGAGTTGATGGAATCGGTAGACGGGCTTGCGTCCGTTGCGAATTCGCGACATCTTATTCGCCAGCGTGAATTGGGCGGGCTTCTATCGTGGAGCGAACCTATATGAAAGGAAAAAAAAAAAGCGAGTATCGGGGGCACCCCAATCAATCGTGTGCGTTTCTTGTGCCCGAACCCCCGCTGCCTGCTCAACTCACCGTCACCGCGCGGCTTGAGCCCTTTTTCTCCCTTGTCCGCAAAGGCCATTGCTATCACACTATTTCCCCTCGCAGTAGTGAGCTCTGTGCCGTAGTATTCCGGTCACTTTAGCGCATTATGCCCTGCCTATCCCCACCTGCTCCTACTGTCTTACAAGGATATGCATGGCCATTGTCTAACATTGGTATTAAGAAGCAGGTCTTCCCAACCCCCTAGCACAAGACAAGCACTCCCAATGTTCTCATCACTCCCCCTGGTGTTATTGTTATCCCCGGCCACCGCAGTCCTCGCGGCCACCGTGACGTACAACTTCAATATAACATGGACCACAGCGAATCCCGATGGTCTCTTCCCGAGGCGGACCATAGGGATTAACGGGAAATGGCCTATACCTACCATCGAGGTTAATAAAGGTGACAGGTTGATAGTTAATATGTACAATGGGTTAGGGGACCAAGATACCAGCTTGCATTTCCATGGCATTTTCCAGAATGGCACGAGTTATATGGACGGGCCGGCCAAGGTTACCCAGTGTCCTGTTGCTCCGGGGCAAAGTTTTAAGTATGATTTTGTGGTCTGTGTACTCCCTTCCCCCTTTTCCCAATCCTTAGACTTGGACTGAAGACCCCGCTGAAAACAGGTAAACCAACCAGGAACCTACTGGTACCACTCCCACGTGAAAGGCCAATACCCCGACGGTCTTCGCGGAGCACTAATAGTGCATGACAACGACTCACCTCACAGATCCCTCTACGACTCTGAAGTAGTGCTGACATTCTCGGACTGGTATCATGAGCAAATGGCGAGACTCATATCCCGCTTCCTCTCCGTGGCAAACCCTACGGGAGCTGAGCCAGTCCCGCAATGCGCGCTCATTAACGAATCTCGGGACACCAAGGTTAAAGTTGAGCCTGGAAAGACGTATCTCTTCAGGATGATCAATATTGGCGCGTTCGCCGCGCAATACGTTTGGTTCGAGGGCCACACTATGAGAGTCGTGGAGGTTGATGGTGTCTATACAAAGCCGATGGAGGCCGGGATGCTATATCTGACGGCCGCTCAGCGGGTTTCGGTATTGGTAACTATGAAGAATGGTACGGGGGAGAATTTCCCGTTTGTGGGGAGTATGGATCAGGCATGGTGCTTCTTCCCAGGTATTTGAGGGCGTTCTACTAATGGGGGTAATAATAGGATCTCTTCGACCAAGTTCCTAAGGGTCTAGATCCAAATGTGACCGGCCACCTCATATACTCCGACTCGAACAAGAACCCTCCAGCAAAAGAAATTACAGAATTCGATCCTTTCGATGACTTTCTCCTAGAACCCGAGGACGGAGAGGTCCTCCTGGAAAACCCGGACTACTCCTTCAACCTGGATATAGTAATGGACAACCTCAATGATGGAGCAAACTAGTACACCTCTCCTTGCCCTCCTCTCGATAAACTATGCACTAATATGTCCAGCGCCTTCTTCAACGAAATAACTTACGTAGCGCCCAAAGTACCGACACTCTACACCGCACTTTCCGCGGGCCAACACGCCACGGATCCCACAATATATGGCCGTGACACTCACTCATTCATCTTGAATCATAACCAGGTTATTGAGATTATCCTAAACAATTTGGATCCGGGAAAACATCCCTTCCATCTTCGTACCAGCCCCACACACTCCCTACGCCCAAGAATCGACCATCACTAACAACTCTAGACGGCCACAACTTCCAACTCGTCCACCGCAGCCCGGACGACTCAGGACCCTACAACTCCACATCCCTCCAAAACCCTCCCAAAATCCCAATGCGTAGGGACGTAGTCCTCGTGCGACCAAACGGAAACCTAGCCCTTCGTTTCCGCGCTGACAACCCAGATATGTCTCCCCTTCCACCACACCCTTCCCCGCCCTAGCTAATATCCCACACGGGTCTGGCTCTTCCACTGCCACCTAGAATGGCATATGGTCAGCGGCCTCTCTGCAACCATGGTCGAAGCTCCGCTAGAAATGCAAAAGAGCATGAAGATCCCGGAGGATCATATAAACCAGTGTAAAGACGCGGGCTTACCGACCGAAGGGAACGCAGCGGGGAATACAGACTTCTTGGATCTGCGGGGGGAGAATCAGTCGCCGGGGAGGTTGCCGTCTGGGTATGTTTCCTCCTCATCTATTGATCCCTCGCATTTTAGATGGGACACTTATGGCCAGTAGATTCACGGCGAGAGGGATAGTAGCGCTGGTATTTAGCTGTATTTCTGGGGTTTTGGGACTGGTGGTTATTGCTTGGTATGGAATGGCGGAGGCTAAGTCTTGAGCACGGGCTTTTTGGCAAAGTTGGTTGGTAGTCCTGGTCTTCTTTTTTTTCTTTGGCCATTTGTACACCCAAATGGAAGTGATGTGATACCAGCGCGATAGCATTGTCATGATAGGTGCTCATTTTGTGTGATTTGTAAAACTCTGTATGAACGATACATCTTGTAGCTCTCTGGGATATATAATATCATGTTGGCCAGTTATGATACCCCTGCTATAACTGTGACAGTCCGCGATAAGATATGATATTTCCCGGGCCTCACTCACAAATTCTCACCCGTATCCGGATCAAACTCCATCCGGTGCACTATGCCAGTAACCAATGAAGGGAAGCACAGACCGTTATCTGTAAACCCCGGTGGGAAAAAATTAATATGAATAAATAACCCCAATCCACCCTACAGGATAAATATCATATATGTTCCCTCAGTAACGCCACATGCAGAACTTTTCTCCAGCAGTAGATAGGATGTTCAGGAACACGCCAGCCTCTGAGCCCTCGGGGGCAGGGAGCCCGGAGGTTCTAATTTCCCCACAATGAGATTGTTATCGAGCGGTCCATCAGATATGGCCGGTACCACAAGAGAAATTTAGAAAATCCTGTGCTGGTGAACTAGGAGATTGGAGGACCCAGATAAGCTCTCCGAGATAACGCTGAAGCGCGGGTTGGTCGCGCAACGAGGCGGTATTGTAGGTTTCGGCGATCATGCTCCAACTTTATCATAGGAGCGATGTCCGTGATGAGTGGGGTGGTGTAAGGAAATGAAATAAAGAATTGTATTAACCCCTTTGATCTAGTGAAAAAATGAAAGAAAAAAAGAGCTTCAGGATCTGATGTGCTTGTAGCCTCTCAATCACGGTATTATACGGAAATGACCGGGTTGGTCTCTAAGGACTGCCATCCATTGACCTCAAAAAGAAGCCAGACACGAATAGTAACCACCAGTAAATACACGAGACGTAGCTGAATACCGCAACCGCCATAGCAAATCCCAAGTTTGCGATTATAGAACTTGTCTGGGGATTTCACCACTCTTTGCGTCGTGGGAACCCTGGCCCTCGCAGGGAGCAGGGGCGTGACAGGGACACAATTCGTTTCCAACTTGTGTATCGTACTGTACGAGTACTGTACCGTATGGCCCAGCGCCCTGTCAAAAACATTGGGCAATTCGCAAAAAAGGGATACCACACACTTATTATACAACAAAGATCAACCAACCACCCGCCGTAGGACCGGAGGCCTGTCGATACATCTCTCGTGTCATTGGCCCTGATATGGTACCAGCACTATACAGGAGCAGTAATAATAATACATCTGGGAGCTGGGATATGCCTCCGGGTGAGGTGTGTCGCGATTTCTCACTGAGAGAGATCAAGGGGATTTATTCTGCTGTCCAGGTTCGTTGGTGCAATGCCGAATCACGGATCCTGGAGCTGCCCTAGGCTCCGATAGAAGACGGGTTATCGGTGTGTTCAGGGGGTCCCAGAATTACTATCATACTCAGGTATTTAGTTTTGACGAACTTATTGCAAGCATGATACACGGTCGTTAGAGAGATGGGCGTATTATGGCAAGCCAAATGTGCCATAGAGTACTGCAACCCAGGGCGATACCGCAATGTGCTGTGCTGTGCTGTGCTGTGCACATACCGGTACCTCACCCGGCTGTCGAGGCTAATACCAAAAAGCACAGTCACTGTCTTCGTAGAACTCGGTACAAGTACTGCACAGTACAGTACAGGGTTGCCGAACCCCTTTCTGGCCGGTGTCGATATCACGGGGAACTGCGCTGTGGTGCCTCGAGCTAGGCGATCCACAGATCCTTCGATCCAATTTATATCCAAAGCTGGTCTAATCCACCATAACTTAGGCACTCCAGATTGCTCACGCATCGCGGTGAAAGACTTGTACGGTGGCGCAAGATAGCGTTCACATATTTGTGGCATCTCCCCCACCGATGCGGCAGGAGCGAGCAGAGAGTTGTCGGCGCAAACTTGAGGGAGATTGATGGGATAGCACTTGTACCGGGGTATCCATGAGGTTCCACAAAAGGCCCCGCTTTCCTTCAGCCCCCAGGAATCCCAGCTGCCGACTGACTCCATCACTCATCATCTACAATATTCTGAGCAGCAAAAGACAGAAAATGTCTCAATATTTTAGTAATAACACTAGCCGTCTGAACACGTTTAACGTGTCGAATAACTTTACTACATTACAACCTCCCGATGACCGATCTGATATCCTAGCCTGGCTATCCCCACTAGATCCTAGGCTGCGGCACCAGGACGCTCAGGACCGCTGGTTCCAAAATGTAGGGGAATGGCTCTTAAAAACCGAGGAATATAGAAGCTGGTACGCCGGCAGTGGGGGGGATGAATCCGACAACACGGTTTTGTTTTGCTACGGAGATCCAGGGGTCGGTCAGCCGTATATAAGGTAAGGAGGATGACCATCGAAGAACGGAAAAAAAAAAGACAAGTGTTGACAAGCCCTAATGTTAGTCCGTTAGTTATAGACAGCTTGTGTGAACGGGCAAGGGGACAGAATGTCACCGTTGAGTGCCTTTACTTTGACTTCGCCGCCCAGAAGGAGCAGTCACCGACCAGTATGCTGGGCGCCCTACTCAAACAGGCTGTGGGTGGACTAGAAGTGGTGCCGGGGGAGATAGTGCAAGCTTATGAAGGCCAGAAAAAGGTCCTTGGTGGGCGGAGACCGCAGCTTGCGGATATTGTGAAGATGCTGCAGACTACCTCTTCCGAAAAGCGTACATTCATATTCATCGACGCTCTGGATGAATGTGCAGCAGGATATCGGGTCAAGCTTCTCTATTCGCTAAATCAAATTCTCCAAAAGTCTCCCAGCACCCGAATATTCGTGACTGGAAGACCACACGTTCAGGCCGAAACCAAGGAGGGGCTGTCTGGGAGAGTAAGGACTGTGCGCATCACCCCTAGGAGAGATGATATCGTCGTATATCTCCGCAACAAGCTGGCCGAGGACACAACCCCGGACGCGATGGACAGTAGTCTGGAGGCAGACATCCTGGAGAAAATTCCTGAAGATATTTCGGAAATGTAGGTAGAAGCAACAACATGAGGGAAGCTACATGAAGTTACCCGCTAACAGACACATGTCTAGATTCCTCCTAGTCACCCTGAATATCAATGCGATCTTGCAAGAAAGCACAATCAGTCGCAGGAGACGAAAGCTCAGCGCAATCACCGATGGCTTGGGATTGGGTGATGCTTACGACGCAATGCTGAGCCATATCAAGGGACAGAGTGGGGAGAAGACGAGGCTTGGCATGGCTGCCTTGATGTGGATCTCCCACTCGGAGCGGCCCTTGAAACCCCATGAACTGTGTCATGCCCTAGCAGTCGAAATAGGGTCGTCGAATCTCGGCACCGACAATGTCCCTTCAATAGTGACATTGCTTGCCTGTTGTCAAGGACTTGTTGTCGTTGACAAGGCGGCTTCCACAGTCCGGTTAATCCACTCTACCCTTCAAGATTACCTATGCAGTCGTCCCGACCTTTTCGGTTCCGCTTACTCGACGATGGCAGAAACCTGCTTGAGTTACCTGAATTCGCAGAAGGTCAAGGCCCTTTCGACTGCTCCCTCTCCTGATCCCCAAGGCACACATTTCTCATGTATTCTTCCCAGTATTGGGGAGTTCACGCAAAAAGGGACCTTTCAGATAGCGCGAAGCTGCTTGCGCTTAAGCTGCTTGACAACTTCAGTGACCACATATCTTCCGAAATCCTCCTGGAAGCGCAGAAACCGTACTCGTACGCTATTGATTTCGATAAACTTTCCCTATTCAGTGGTCTACATTGTGCATCCGTCTTCGGGATTGCCGAGATTGCAGCTGGCTTGGTAGAGGTGGAAGGTTGTGATATCAACCAAGAAGACTGTGTGGGTAACACACCTCTCGTGTGGGCTGCTTGGAATGGGCACGAGGGAGTGGTGAAGATACTGCTCGGACGGGACGACATCAGCCCGGAAAAATCAGATAGGTACGGTCGAACACCACTCTGTTGTGCTGCATGGAATGGGCACAAGGAAGTGGCCAAAATACTTCTCGGACGGAATGACGTCAATCCGGGCAAACCGGATAGGTGCGGCCGAACACCACTCTGTTGCGCTGCATGGAACGGGCACGAAGGGGTAGCGAAATTACTACTCGGGCGGGGCGACGTCAACCCAGCCAAACCAGATAGATACGGACGAACACCACTCTATCGTGCTGCTGAGAACGGGCACGAGGGAGTGGTGAAAATCTTGATGCAAATGACGAATGGCGCCACGACAGAGTGAGCGGGTTCTTTCGGGACCCGGACGCTAGGTAGAGGAGGTAGGAAAGGTATAATCGTGAACTTCGTTCTTATGATCACCAAACTAAACTAACGGCGAAGACGTAGTATGTAATATTACGGAGTAGAATAAAATTACCCCTGATATTTCCATGGATCCCCATATATGCCAGTATATCTTATGCATGTCCTCATTCCACCGCACGTTCCTAGGACAAAGCAAAGACATGCCTGGAAAACCCCCTCGGTAACGATAAGTCCAGAAAAATCTACCACACTCCCTAGCAATCCACAACATCTCAATTCTTCCACGATCAAACACGGCACCCTAGCTTCCTTCATCGGCCGTAATAGAAGATACTGCTCAGATAGGACGACGTCAACCTTAACCAAATGAGTATGGTCAAACACTACTCTCCAGTACTACTCAGAGCAGCCACGACAGAGCGGCAGAAATACTACCCGGATGGGACGACATCATTCCCGGCAGGCCAGGTAATGGTGGCCAAACACCACCCCAGTGTGCTCCTGAGAATGGGCAGGAGGGGTTGGTGAAAGTACTGCCCGGACCAAGCGATGCCAACCCCGAAAACCCCGACAAACTAGGCCGGGCACCACACTGGCGGCCTACTAAGTGACCACGCAGGAGCCGTAGCGCCACTACAACCCCCAGAACCAGCACCCCTAAGGCTGGGGGAGGCATTTCCCTCCCCACCGCCCTCGAATACGGGCAACCTGTGTGCCATTTCCGCAATGATAGCCATAAACACATCTGTCTCCGCCCAACCCCTCCCGCACTTTATAACATCGCCCCGTGTTAATTGCTGCCTTTCCTTTCTCCCCGGGGTACGCCTACCGCAAAAACTCGGCTCAAATATAGTCCTTTTGTCAGGAAACCATGCGCAGTGGGAATGCCCACATCTGTGACATGGCCGCCCAAATCTCTATACGGATCTCCTTGTGTAATCGAGTTAATATCTGCAGTTTCCTTCTTATGGTCTAAGGTTCAGCGTTGGAGGGGAGGTATTTCTCTTGCATCGAGATAAGTTCGTCTGGCTCGAAACCCCCATAATATTTACTATTTCCGCTACCTCCCGGTCGTAAACCTCCTTTGCATATTTTTTACTCGTCTCCTTTTTCTACAATCCCTTCTCCCTTTCCTCCCTCCCAAATCGTGGACCCGTTGATCGTTCAGATCTGGAGAGAGAAAAATATGAAGTGCAAATACTCCCGATGCTCGTGAAAATCGATGTGAAAGCTAGCTGTTACCTAAGGTATGGGCGGCGATTGGTTTCCACTATGGACAAGATCCAATGAATACCATGCTTATACCGTTCTGCAAATACACTCCGGGTGTGGGCTTGAAAGAGAGGCTGGGAGGCTGTCCACACCCCTTAGTTCCCCTCCCCCACTTACATCCCCAATGAGATCTAAAATATCATACCTGCGCATATTGACACCGCCAACGGCGTCCGGTAAGTTTGTAGTAATGCTACTGTATCTCGCGTTGCATTTTACGCACTCCATGTACAGTAAACCTATTTACCAATAGACCAAAAAAACACCCCGCCTTATGCGAGTGACGGTATGTGACGACGGTGCAAAAAAAATAGGAGAAAGGAGTGGTATAATAGTAAGCCAAGTTAAATTTACCTACTTGGAGATAGTATCATGGAAGCACTCAAGTGCAACAGCGAGTCAGAAATAGACTGAAGTAGAGCTTAAGTTCTTCTGTCGCACGTACCCCACCGCGGCACACACTACCAACAATAATTTTGTCTACGTTGCGGGCGTAGACATACTAAGAGACATTCATCCATTCATTCATTCATTCGGCATCACAATTTCCCTCATTCAGAGTCGTCAAAAACAGAGATTTACACCCCCCCTCCCCTCCCCTCTCCCGTCACGGTTAGTCAATCAATTCAATGGTATGATTTTCAGATTCCTAAATCATCCCAGAAGGCTATTATTCATCAGCATAATTTGGTTTGCCCCCACCCACCACCCTCTCCACCTCCTCCTCTTCTAGTCTCACAGTAAGTTTTTTTTCTTTTTTTCTTCTTTTTTTTCTCCTACCTGCATGCATGCAGTGCCTACGATACTAACCATATAGTTTCTCCAAAATTTGTGATGCCCAGAGGTAAGACTCAAAAGTGACGGTTGCGTCCAATCCGAGAATCTGCAAAGAAACTGTACGATAGCCCCCCCCCCTTCCCCCCTCCAACTTACTTCCCCTTCAACCCTTCACATCTCATCACTCGATCCAGCCAAATCCTGCTCCACACAGTTAAAACTCCAAGGGTAACATAACGCTGTATGATATCATACATAGCAAGGGCTATGCGGGTGTGTCAAGCACGGGGTGACAGGCTTACCTCTGACTGGGGCATTCCCGGGGACATTCATTTGATAACCCAAGACTAGGTTGTATAGTGCTGGGCGGTACCCGACTGGTACATAAACACGGATATCAGCACGCAGAACATTTGGGGCGGAGTGCCGGTCACGCTATGGGCAAACAGTAACGAAAACGGACTGCCCATCAGGCACGGGTAATGGTAATGAGGCGAGCCGGGCGGCCGGTAGATAGTGATATAGCACACTTGCAATGCTAAGCAAGGAATTGTCGACAGGCTAGAGGCAGGCTCAAGTGGTAATCATCTGATGCGGGGAGCTAGGCTATCATCACCTGGCGGAAAGTTTCCAGGATATGAAGCCCTAATTCTACCTTGTCGTGCATTCTGATCATACGCCAGGTTAGACATGAAACCAATGACTCCCCGTTCTGTGTGCCCGCATCTACTCCCCCATATCGCTCTAAACAAGGTAAAACATGAAAAATATGGTCATTGAAGCGCATATCATGGTATTGTTCTAGCATCCAGCAACCCCGAGAGAAAATGCAAACACAAACTATCATCCAAACCCCTAGCCAGGTACACCATGTTCGTCTATCAATTCCCACAATATGGTATTATATCTTCGCTCCCATTTGCCCTGATTGGGAAACAGACCCAGGTCCACCTTCAGGAGCCTCACCGGGTCTCGGCTTGACAATCGAAGAATCCCAAGTCTCCTCATCAGAAAACCACCAATTCCTCTCCTCGCCGTTCTTGAGAAAGGAGCAATCCCCGTTGACGATGCTATCCCATCCACCTCCGACACCGTTGCCACCACGCCAGGCCGTATCCGGGATGGGAAACTCGTCAGACGGAAGAGGGACTACGGTCGGATTAGTAGGAACCTTGCGGCGGCGATAAGTGCTGAGAGAGCAAGTTCCAGCCTTTACGTCGAAAGCCTCATCACCTATTCACTCAACCCAGTAAGCCCACCCATAAACTAGCGCAACCGCCGCTGCAGAGAACCGACCAGTGAGAGCCCTTCCAGCAGCGATATCAGTAGCAGCGTGACTGCAGATGATAATAGCCCTAGGCCCCTTCCCCTCCTCAGACCAACCACGATCAATGTCGGCGATAATTCTGGCAAGAGCGTACGCAGTTCTATCGTGAATCTGAACGATGGTCTCACCCTTGGTCGACGGGATGATAGTGGGGACGTAGCTGAGGCTAACACGTGGGAAGAATGTGTGCAACAACTCGGGACTAGCGGGGGACGGATGAGCTGCAAAGAAAAATTCCAACAAAACTCATCAGCAAACAAGGCAAACGAGAAAATCGGGGGGGGGGGGTAGCCTACTGGATCTGGAAACACCGTACCATTCCCTTTTCCCAAGCAGACAACGCTTAGCTGGATCGAAATGTAGGGCAAATGCGGTGGATGGTAATAGGGATGGAAGGATCGAGGGCTCACCCGACACCATTATCAGCAAAAATTCCCAGATTCAAAGCCTCCGCTGTAGGATCGATGGTCTCCAGACAGCGGTAGAAAGGACTGCTATAGATTCTGTCGATTTTAGGGTCAAGTTTGGCAAGGTGTGCCATGAGCTCCCTCGCCTGCTCAGTTCCATAAGCCGCGAGCGGGGGATCAGAGGGAATGCCGGTAGGGGAGGCAAGGATTTCAGAGTTATTCCCTTGGCCATCAGTAACCCAACTGCTGCGAAACTATCCCCCCCCATCCGTCAGAAAAAGAGGAAAGCCAAACTTGAGAAAGGGAGGCTCACACCATGCCTGGTAACGTATATTGTCTCAAGCATTGTAGCGGATTTAACTTCTTCGTTCACCGGAAAATGCACGGGAGAATAAAAGTGGAGGGCACAGAGTAGGAAGAGGAAGGAGATTATGTAAAGATGGGCAGAACTCTGCGGGCTACCGGTATGCGGCATGCTATTCTTTGCCTTCTCGAGTGGTGACCAGCCTAAACTAACGTTCTGTGCTCCCTGCGGCTCAAAGTGAAAACATAACCAAGATCTTCTCTTGGCGTTCGTTCCTTTATGTACTCGCACGGTGTCATACCCCTGGCATGCAAACCATCAGCCTACTTGGAAATCTCCTCAACAAACCTGTATGATAACTTTTTTTCTTCTTCTCTCCTTTTAACCCTCCTCCTCCACAATGCTCATCAATCCCCCATTTACCTTCCTGTACAGTAACCCAATCTCGATCGGTCATAAGATCACTTTTTTTTCTTTTCTTCTTCTTCCTTCCTTCCTCTCTCCCGCCTTTCTACTCGTTGATTATTGCCGTTCGGGCTCGTGTGACCACGATCTCACATTGCTTAAATCCCTCTCCTTTCACCCGCCCTATCCAGTCCATCTGTGGACGTGTGCAGTGCTCGTAGTGAACCATTGAATCAGAACCGATGACATAGCATGCCCCTATTCTTCCCAACGCACATGATTGATACCTGTCCACACACATGATAGCCCGGGCGCTGCCCCTACCCTGCACTGCTCCCCTCTGCTCCGGCGAGGATGGATGGGCACAAGCAAGATCGCCCACCCACCCACCTCCGCGAGTGCATAGCAACAAGAGCAAGGGAGGCGGGATTCATTGCCCAGATATGGACTGTGTCCTGCATATATCTCGGGCCCGGCGAGCCCGCATGCACCGAGTTAGCCTTGAGTTTCTTGTTTCCGAGTGACGGTACATGAGTCCAGAAGCAGCTCCGTGCGTTATGCAAGATGAGATACAGGACGGTTGGGCACGGATTGGGAAGTCTTCATAAATAATCACTCGATGGGGAGTGGGGACTGGGCTGCAGGGCCTACCGGAAAGGGAGAACTTACGCAGCTCGACTGCCCTGCATCCTTCCATATAGGAAGGCACCATATGTTCCGGAGGAAGGCATCATCGTGAAGAAGGTAAGGTAACTTTAAAAGCTATCTCGGAATGGTTGCGCAAACGCCTAATCCCGTGGTTCTGGTACTGGGGGCCTGATTAGCCAGTACCGTGTGTGACCTGTAGGCTAGCTGTTGGTACCGGTGTCCGCCTTATGTGATGGTGCTGGGGCCCTAGCATCATACAATTTTACCCCGCGATCTCATCTGAACTCTAGGGAAAAAAGGAAAAACGCCGATACAGCAGGGCCGCCAGGGGTGTGGAGTAAGGCTTACAAGCCACACGGCAGCCAGCCCCAACCTCCCCATATCTAGCGATCGCCGGACAAGGTTCCAATGATGACCACCACTTATTATCACGGGCACTACATGACAGCCCTAATTTTTGGAATTGATGTTAAACAGTGATAGCTATCGTATCCCTGGGTGCGAAATTACCAGGTTAACAACAATGATCTGCTAAGGAGAGGCAATATCCTCCTTTTGGCCTCTAGCCCTCCTCCTTTCATCCGTTCGGTCTCTAGCCTTCTGTTTCGCCTCGTTTATCCACTCATCATATTTACCATCCCCAAGCTTACTCGCAACAGCTCTCTTCAAGACTTCGTGAGCGAACCCAACAAAGTTGTGCCTACGAAGCTCATTCTCCCATATCCACATCTTCCTCTTCTCGTCCTCCCTAGCAACCGTTTCAACATCGCCGATCTCAGCAGCTCTGATTCTCAGGTCCTGCACCACCGCCAACAGATTGAACCGAATCTCGGTGGCAGGGTACCTCTCTATCCTCCGCTGCAAGACCGGGATGATCTTTTCTGGGAATTCTTCCTCCGTGCACTTCCCGTGGGATATGGGACAGGGCTGCAGACCGTCAATCTCGTAGAGAGTACCGTTGATAGGAGTGTAAGCAATGAAATGGTATAAATCATCATCCTCGGTAGCGGCACGGGTGCCCTCATCAATAAAGGGATTAGAACGAGCGAAAGAGTTATGAACGCCACGGATCAACTCTAGGAACCAATTAATACCATCGCACAAACACAGCGCAACAAGGGTCCCGACCTACCGGAGTTTGACAAAGTTTCACCACGGAGCTCCAGGCCCGTCAGCACAATGACCCCCATAAAACAGAGGCTATGAGCATGAACCAACCTCTGCAGGAAAAGCCTGAGTAAACTCCTTAAACTCCCTCAATTGATCGCCTAGATCGAGATCTCCATGGTTGAGTAGCACCGACAGGATAGCTTGAGTAGCACAAGCATTCTGAATCGTCTGGTTCGCGAAAAATATATTCTCCGAGGCGGCGAAATCGTACTGACCATCTACCGCCTGGTCGGTTCTCTTCTGGCCGACAGGGTACTTGAATAGGAAGATGACACCATAAACGGGACTAAGAAACGATCTATCAGCTTCCTCTTCCCCTACCCCTCCTACACCCTCAGCAACAAAACGAAATAAAAATGAAGTGGATGAGTAGAGAGCCAAACGAACGATTGCTGCTTGAGATAATCCGCATCCAACGCAATCATCTCCTCGAACTGGACATTCTTGACACCAAGGTTATCAACAAGGTAGGTGAAAACTCCCTACGAGCGAAAAGAAGGGGAAAAATAGAATTTATCAGCAAAAGCCCAGAAGCTCCCATTGAGGTAGACCATACTGCATCGGACTCAATAGTATTCCAACCGCCAGACATGTTCTAGTAACAGACAGATACCCGAGTAGCCTCAGTTACACAGTGAGTTGTGATAAAAGCCTCGAGTTGGTTGATGCCGGCGTGCTGTGCTGTGTGTATCTGATAGACGAGATGCGGGTTGCTTGTTTGAATGAATAAACAGCATCGGAAACGAGGACTGTCATACCGCCCTAACAGGGCAACAGGGGAGGGAAAGGGAGGCTCTGCGGCTTTGTCAGCGCCGTCCCGTTTCCAACACTTAAGTTCCGCTTGTAAGATCACGTGCGGGACAACGGCTCGGGCACAAGAAAGAGGACAGAAGAACGCATGCCTGAAAAAAGTGAGGAAGTGAGGAAGGCAGACACGCGCAAGGCAATAGAATCCCACCTGCAAGTGCTCGTACAGTACAAGCACAGCACGTTTAGGGGTCACCAAGCCCACAGTCACGACACGGGCAGCACGGGCAGTCAACTCACTCGGGCTCAATTCCCACACGTGCCTTCCATCCCTTCCCCGCACATACACTCTATCACTGCCGTAACTCCAGATAGGCCCGAAAACAGGATTTAAAGCTCCGAATTTCCCCACCGAGTGATAGACTATGTCCGTGGCTGATCCGCCGGCGCCTAAGTTGGTTGAGCCTGGAGATCTCTTTCTTCCGCTCCCCGCGCCGGGTCAGGACCGGGGGGAAAAGCAAAAAAGGACAATTCTTTCACCTTTCTCACCCCAAATTAGAGGACGAATGAAACAAGTACCATATGCAAGTCTAATAGGTCGGGGTATGTAGCAATCCGAATGATCATTCCGATACAGTAAAAATGGGGAGAGAGAGGGGAAGAAAAGAAAGAGAAAAAAAGAAAGAAAAATGTGACCCTGACCCTATGAGACAAGCCGGGCCCCGGGGTTCAGGTCCAACTCAGGTAGTTCTCCTCCTCCTCCTCCTCTTCCTGTAAAAATAAAACATGCAAATTTAGAAAAGAATCGAGGGAGAAAAATAAAATAAAAATATGTAAGTGTGGAACTTAAGTTAGCTATCGTATGTATGTATGTAAGTATGATAAGTGTGTATGCATGTAGCATCTGTTTCTTTTATTATATAAGTCCAGTTGCTAAAAGAGAAAGGAGGAAGGGAAGGGTAAGGGAACGAAAAAAAAAAAAAAAAATAGAATAGAATAGCCCATCATAATAAGTGGACATAAGCGTAGGCAAGTTAAGTTATAATAAGTACCGTATAATATTTGTGAATTTAGGGTTATTCAGGGACATAGGCTAATAGTCGCCAATAATAATAGCAGAATAAAATAAAATCCAACGGTAATAATAATACATTAGCGCGCAGTACCGGGGTCACTTATTATGATAAGTATGGCATCAGTTGTACAAGTACGAGCTCGCACAGTTACAGTAGGGTACGTTCCGTTATGGGCGGTTCGGGCGAGGTGATGCTTGTGATGGTGACCGGGAATGCAAAGTTAGCCTCTGTCGCCCCCAAGGTTGCACAGTGCATACAGTAACTTACGATGCAGTTACCATTTTCAGAAAAGCAACCGTCTATAATTGACCCAGAGCCATGTCGATCCTCGTTTTTTGCAGGGAAGTGACCCTCAACTTGCTAGCTGAAAGAAGCCTTAGATTGATTGATTAATTTGACTGATAGACAGACAACCACCTTCATCCATTCATCTATTTCCAGGTCCTGCAACCAGTGAGCCTATAATATCACTTTGTTGAGAATCCGGATGAGTGAGCGAGCGAGTGAGTGAACAAACGAATGACGAGTAAGGTATCATAGCCCATTTTAAGACACGCCTAGCTTCCAATCAGAACAATACATATCCCTAGCGAGTTGATGACGCTCCAAAAAATACCAACCAGACGTTGCAGCTTCAAGAATAGACGAAATCTGCCTAAGTTAGTGTCTCTCCCCCTCCCCCTCGGTCACCTAACTGAAGAGTGCAATAGCGCCGTTCTACCTATACTAAGCACTTACTCGAGTATACGAGTACTTATGATAATCGCAGATTAGGGTAGGGGGTGGTCGGCAAAAGAAGCTTAACACCACCCACCTACCCACCCGCTGAGCTCCGCCGGTGGGAAAAACTTGGCCGGCACACGCGGACTTCTAAACTAGCAAGAGCAACCAGAAGATCTTCGATGGCAAATCGCCCACGTTTATGGAATTGATCGGCTAAAGCTGAGCCTCTTGGGTCCTTGAAGACCAGCTGGGTCGTGTCAATGTTTCACTCACGCAGATATGAATGCATAGGGCCACTGATGTCTGATCAGACAACCAAACGAAGGATATTCATACTCGGTAAAGAAATCCAAGAGAGAGAGAAGAACAAGAAGGGCAAGAAGAACAGGAAGGGGAAGAGGGAGGAGTGGGGGGGAGAAGAAAAAGAAAAAAGACAAGAAAAAGCACCTGAAGAAACCAGAGAACAACTTCTAAAGGAAAGCTAACCCCCACTCGGAAAAGAAAAATTTCCCGTTTTCGCCGTGGGGAATGTCCCCACTTCGAGGGTCTCCCCATTGTGAAAAAAAAACTGATAGAAATATGATCCTGGTATCCCATCCATCCGTGGCGCGGTCCCGACCCCCGATAACAATGGAGCACCAAACCAAACAAGAAACCCGAAAGCTCTAACGCTTTGCCGCCTATTCTCTGCCGGGCACCTTAAACCATTCCCCTCTCGTGGCATGCCTCAGCAAAGATCTAGCTGCCCTCAGCTGTGACCAACTCATAGAATCTCAGGCATCCCAACTCCCTCTCCCACCCGATGCAGATGTGCCTGAATGTTGTGCTGAAGTCGGACTATGCGACATGCCGAAACCTGCAAAAGCACTAACATCAAAGCCATCCAAGTTGGTGCAAATGGGTGCGTGTAAGACCCTGGGGCTTTGACCACCACCCTCCATATCGATATCGCCCACCTCGCTATCTTCTGCATCCCATACCCTCCTCCACCCCATCCTTTGTTTGAACTCATGGACCATGTTAAGCGGGAACTCCATAAGATTGATGGGCCACTGAAGTTCGCCGGCTTCCATGCGATCCCGTTGCCGTAGCAGGTTTCGGTGAATCTCCTCAACCGGCCCAACCGACATCGTCCCAAAGTATGCCGCACCCACAGCGGGGAAGAGGGGTTCGACAGCTAGGGCAACACCGTAAAAGTGGGCTAGAAGAATCATTACGCTAGGATCCCTCTTAACACGTTTAAGGAAGTCTATTGGAAGGAAAAAGAGCCAGGCACGAAGCGGGTGAATAAACTCGAACTGCTCCTCGGCCGAGTGAATGGGCACATAGCTCTGTAAATTCTGGATGAAGTTCATCAAATCATTCAACCCTCTTGTCTCCTCAACCTTGCCGTTCACGTAAGGTTCCAGACGTTTCAAAGCTTCGTAGACGTGTTCCAAAACCTGCTTGTCGCGTTCTGGATCCTCAATCTGAGGTTGAAAAGGAGTTCGTGAAAATATCCTCTTCTCCTCCATAAACTCACCGAATTCGCTATCATGCTTCCACTCCTGCATAGCATTTATCACAGTCGAAGTCCCCTGCATCAGGCTTGCCCACATCCGCCTGAAACATGTCAGTCAGCTATCCACCCTGAGCCGCCGAGTACCCCGTGGCTAGACCGGACTTACCAATCAGTCGCTTGCCATGAGAGAAGAATTGAAGCAGCAAGCACGGCATCAGAGTTTTCTTTGGAGAATGCCCCGATGGCCTCCTGTAATCCTTTCAGGGCTGACCCCCGATGCTGGTAGGCAAGATGCATTGTTGCTGAACATGTAGTTAACCAGGAAAGATGAGAAGCCGATAAGGCCAAAAGTGAGTGCATGACATAGTCATTATTCGCGGCAATTCTTAGAAACCTCCCAGCCAAAGAGTAAGCTTTGTGAACAGAATAAAGAAGCTGTGAAAGAGCCTGATGAGGATACTAGGGTGGCAAACATTGGTACTCGCTTCGTCCAGATTGAATACTTATCTGGCTCAGCACTCTGCATCTGTGTCGCAACAGATGAGATGTGGTGTATCAATCGAAGGTCGGTCGGTGTGTATCGTGAGGGTGATAGTTGATTCCCAATACCTAGATTCGGGAACGGGTATTCCCCACTTCTAACCCACTGATCGAGTTCAAGCTGATCTTGAGGAGAGGTACCGAGGTCTGGATCCCCCGTCACTAGAGGGGGCACCACATCCTGAGGAGCGTCCATATAATCGCATCGTACGTTGTGCTTGGTGCAGTTACGACTTTACCCAAGTGGTAGTTGTCAGCGGGATAGAACAGCAGAGTTGTAAGAAATATAAGCCGGGAAAATTCGACGAAGGTAGAGCAGCATGGCCCAAACTTAACGTCTCCCATTAACATACCATTGAGGAAAGCTTTCATCGCATCGAATATGTCTCCTCTTGCAAGTCTTACACCCTTTCCTCGACTTGGTATGGCTTTTCCGCGACCCACCCGGCCCAGGCATCTTTGTATAGAGGTTGAAGGGCGATGGAAAACCTTTGGATATAATTATAGTAAGAACCCAGATTAGCGTCAAGCCACAGAAACAGTGGCAGTAAGAAGAAATGTATTTATCGACCCAGAGAAACCCCGGTGGTGCTCCGGGTAGGTATTTGAGGTCCGTTGTCAATATTGTTTTAGTAGAGTTTACAGTATTTAGGGGTTTTTGAGGTGAAGGTGGCAGAGGCGCAGCCTGATTGTTGTGGTGCAAGGTGAGATAGAAAGAGAAAAAAAAAAAAAAGAAGAGAGTGAGAGCAGCGGTTGGATAATAGAGATAGATAGATGAGGACTCAGTTCCTGCAACACTACCGGTATTTGGTTTGATCTGATTCTCCGGCGAGCCGGACCCACATAAAAGAAGAAGGCTTCTGGAATATATTCTAGATGCCAGACAAATTAAGCATAACCAGCAACTACTCACTAGAGATGCAAGTAAAAGTCGGTGTCCGTGAATGGCACTGGCACAGGTTGTGACTCAGAGTCAACGGACAAAAAATCCCGATCTAAGGTTGAGCAAGTAAGAGACGACTGGTTATTACCAAAACGACTGGATAACGCTATCCCGGACCCGGAGTTCGATGGAAAGTAAGGGAGAGAGGGTGCAAATAAATCCTTTGAGTGGATGATTTTCCTCTTGTCTCAAAATCCAAAAGCAAACGGCGTCTCAGGCCGTATTTGAAGCGCTACGTGAATCCCTCTTGTCTATAGGGTAGCGAGAGAGAGACAGAGAGAGAGACAGAAAAGGACCAGAATACTTCTTTCCTACGACGCGTAATAGTAATTGTGCAAAGAAAACGTGAGAACTGGGAACGCTGGGCTCAGGGTTTCCGTTGCACCAACCTAAAAGGCTCTTTGGGCCTGCGCTCTTTGGGCCTGCGAAGGTTGCACATGTACAAGTACTGTCCACACAGCCTCGTGTAACCTCTATTTGGACCATCGAGTTTTTCTCTCACTAAAAGGAGGCTAAAGGGGAATTCGGGCCCGAAAATCCTCGAGACAATAATCCACGGCAATAGTAAGGAAAAGTACACTTCTTGGGTTTGACGACCCGGAAATCGTGACGAGTGACCATGAGCGAGTGTGAGCTTAAAAAAGTGGTGCCCTTTCTTCTTTGCTTTTTGCGCTCATTTCTTTTACGCAGGCATACATGCCTTGGCGAAGCAAGTTAATCATATCTCGATGTAAGGTAATGGTTGGTTACCGTAACTGCAGCCGATAGCCGTTGGACCTCTCTCCTGAGAGTCAGAAGAGAAACAATGGGAAATCGGGTGCCTCCCGCTCAGCCTTGGGGTCAGTCGGGTCACTGATCGAGTGGGGAATATCTATGAACTCACCGGGTACGACATTTCTTCCCGCTCGCGTATTTCTACGGTGTCCAAAGTTGCGCAAAAGTACTAGGACATGGGCCAGTGTGCCCAGACTGTTCCATGGCGGTATTCTTGATGGGTTCGGTCGCACAATTGGCGCCTAGTAAGCCTGGGTAAACGTCACTGGGAGTGACTTTCTGTCGTTCGCTTCCTCCCTTGAACTCCGCACGTGGTTTGGTCAAAGGCTCATTAAAAATTGTTCACAAAATGCTATGTAGTTCTGTATTCCTTTCCGAATACGCCGTCGGCATTGAATTCTAGAGAAAGTCTTCGAGACAGCTAACACGACTGGTTACTCACTGTGGGATACCGGTATATCCGCTTTTCATCAGATGAAACGTGGGTGTGAAATTAAGGTCTAAGCCTTACATAACTTCTGTGAGGTCCTCAGCCTTGTCACGAATAGTTGAAGTCGCCTTGCGAAGTAAAGTTTCGGCGCAGGCTGTCCTCAAGCTCGTACCGGTAAACTTAACAACGGAGACGCCGACGCTGGTAATAACGCTTTAAATTTCTCTGCCACCGTAGCCATGTCATTCTCGGAAGCTGCCGGGAAAATGTCCGACGTCGGAAAAATAGGAAGGGGCTCTTTTCGATGGGATGACATAGATCTCTTTTAGCGCATGTATCATCATGCTAATGGTATGCGTGCTTCCTGACCAACTAATGCTCCCCATGACCGGGCATCGGAGGACGGTCTGAGGAGACTGAGCTTCGGCAAGCCGTCCCACCCACCTCCGGCGTCTCCGGATGTAATAAGCTTCCAGGACCGCCGGGTAAATGATGCAACGTAACACCGTTACAGAATAGCGATTAGGTATGTACCGGATAGGGGATAATCAGGTACTTGTATCATACAAACCCCAACTAACCCGCAACAAATATTCGTATCATGGCAATAGTAAGCGTCGTATGAACTCTGTTCGTATTCCCTGGCCCTGGGTCCAAAATGCGCTAAGCTATTGTGGTTGATTTTTCTGCTCAGTATGCCTGGCAAACCCCAAGGCTTACCGAGATATTCGCCAGGTCTAAGCGACCCTGATACCAGTACCGGTAGCAGCGTCCTAGCCCAACGCCCTGGTAAATCGTTTTTGGGACTCTCAACAATCATCCCTTGTGCCCATGTAACGAAATTATGATAGAAACCCCTGCTAAATGCGCATTCAAGATCGGGAATTATTATCCACGTGCAACCCGAAATTTTAGGCCCTAGGTTGTTGAAGTAGGCCCGTGCGATGCGAATCCGGGGTGACAATGGCTGCCTAGTCAACTCTACTATCGTTTGAATCCCCTAACGCATAAAAGGCACCTCGCAGGTAGTGTCGGAGACATTCGGTGATGCCGTTGATTCCGCTAAAATTAAGAAGATCCACGGCTTCCCCGAGAGCCCTAGATATCCCGTCATGCAGAGTCAATCGGAAATGACGGTCCCCCAGAGGGCTCTAGAAATATGCTATCCCTTCTTGGTACGGTGGGAACAGCCCTGCAAATGAGGGACCGCCATTGAGCTTTCTCTGTCTATTGGGCTGCTGCTGCGGCACATTCCAACTATAGTGACAGGCTAATGCAGCCATTCATCACCAGCGGGTTTCCATCTTTCTATCCGACCCCCACCTTTCAACCCTCCTCCTCAGCCGTGGTAGATCGTGTCGTACTTCCACTTGAGTGTGGAGCCGCCTCCGCTTATCCGCCGTGTATTCCTGCCAGGTCACGCGTACCGGGATATTCGTGTGCACCTAGATAAGACGAGAGCAGGATACTCCTCAGTTCACAGCTGGCGATGATCGAAAAACCAAGTCCTCGGGGACCCCGGAGACATTGAGATTTGTTACACATCCGAATGTTGTTTTTTTTAAATGCAAATCGCTGGTTAGCCTGGTCTAAGTCTAGTCTAGGCACCGGAGGCGACCCGTATAGAACTCTCAGCACATTACTCCTGCACATCCAATACGCTGTAACTCAAAAGAGCGGGATTAAAACCTGACCTCTCCTGGACTGCCTTTTCACTCTCCCAGCAGGAGGTGTAATATCGGGTTCCGTTTATAGGATCCCATCGAATCAAGAGTCCTCAAAAATTCCATTCCAGCCAGAACTCGAATAACTGCAGCAGGGGTATCCGAGAAACCCCTGGCGCCAAACCATATGCCGAAGGACCCAAATTGGGTACGCGGTATTTAGAAATCTCAGAGAAACGTAGGGCTGTTGCAGGGGCCTAAGTCCCGGTGGTCTTGCCACTTTTTCCGATATCCTAATGATCGAACGGCCAAATCAATCCCCGGGCAGAGTGACACAATGTGGTCATCTGATACAACGGTATCTTGCAGGTAAACAAGTTACCCTACGATGGGTAAAGACTCGAGTTTCGGCGTCATACCCAGGAAGCCAGAGTCATGTACAGTAGGGCTCGAGTGGCGGGCCCAATTGCATAGGTGGTCTCTAGGACCCCGCCGCATACTGATTTGTAAAACCTCGGAGAAAACTTGAGCCGAGGTGCTTAGAATCTGTGAGACTGTGGCTTATAGTTAGTTTGGTGTTTTGTATCTAGAATAGTGAGTCACGGGGAGACGCGCCTGTTGCGTGACGATTCGTGGAGAAGGTTCCCAAGCCTTGCGAGAAACATGATTATAAAAACCTCTCGTATCCGATTCTTAGTGACTCATATAGAGAAAAAAAAAAAGAAAAAAAAAGAGAGATCCCAACAAGAGAGCGTGTCTTAGGTATCTTGTCTATTTCGGCCAATGACGAGCGTGGTAGTGATTACCGATGGGAGATGGTTTGTAAAAGAAATATATAACCAGATACCGGTACTCGTTTCTAAGAGCCTAGCATAATAGAAAAGCTATTATGCGGAGCTGTTTCCTTGATGATACCTGTTAGATGTTTTGCCCTCAGTAAAAAGGAAGTCCATGTGAGAATAAAAAAAAGAGCCGTTCAGGAAAGGATCACCAACGCATCTCACAAAGCCTGCAGCCGACAATACGGGTACCGCACAAGCAAATAATGAGCCTTGAGGGAAATGTAGAAAAGGACGTCCTCCCCTATATATGAGAAGAAAGCCGTCGGCTGCATGACTCAACGGATTCAGTCACCAGTACGGTACTTAACTCAGCTTCGCAATGAGCAACGAATGACCAAGCCAAAGAAAGCCATGGTGAGTGTGCTGCCTTGTGATGCCATCATCACTCACTTGGGGTCGATCCAGATATCAAGAGCTGACCAACCACCTGATAAGCATCAATGGACAAATCCGTCAATTACCGGTGCATTATCATTTACCGAAGGGTCTCGGCGGGTCATGTTCGCGAAAAGATCACCACTTCATCCTGGGTTACCGAAATCCAGGATACTCCACCTTACCCGCCTAATCCTAGCAACCCGAATTCCCCAGAGCAAACACAAGGGACCAAAAAAAAATCTTGTCATCCCACACCTCTGCTTCGGGGGAAAAGGAAGGAAATTTTTTTTTGCTAAAACAAACCTCCGAAAAGTCCGTGCATAAGCTTCTGGAAGGGAAATCCAGGAACGGTGCATAACGGGTAGCATTTTCTGCTTCTGCCTTCCCCTCTTTTTCCCAACAACAGACTTCCCACGTGGGACTGAGGGAAGAGTCGGTGTTGGATGGTAAGGGGGAAAGGAAAGGGAAAGGGAAAGGGAATCCGATTCGAGCTTAACAGAACCTCCGGGCACTGTGCTAAATCGTTCTGTTTCGATTCAATTGCGAGGGGTCTCGGTTGGCGATTGTACTAGAACAGGAACATTCCAGAGACAATCATTGGCAGCAATAACGGTAATAACTGCTGTAACCAAAGGAAGGGGAGGAGAGAATCCTAAGCAACAAGCATAAGATGGAGGGAAAATAGGAGAAGGAGGAGAAAACTGGATGAAGAGGTATCATACTTATCTTGGTTTCTGCCCCGCTGCTTTGATTCGATTTATAAAGCCCCACTCAGCCAGGACACGAAAGCCATTTTATCGCCTCATCCAGGATTACAGGGCAGGTAGCGCACAGCTGAGGCAGGCCCCCTCCCTCCCCTGGCCTTGCAAACAAAGCACAATTCCGAACTGGGGCATATGCTATCAACTATATAGGAGGCGGGTCACAGAGGCACGCTAAGGATCGGTGGGGGAAGGGCGCAAAAGGAGATGTAAAGCCCTCTTGGGGACTTAGCTATCATAGCATCCGGGAAAGAGGGAGACGAAAGTTGATCCCGCGAAGACCCTCGACAGGTAGGTGAGACATGCACTTTGAAAAAGTGAGACATGAGGCTCTTTTGTCGTCACGCAGTCGAATCAGATGACGAGATGGGGGAGAAGGAAAGACGATTCTCATGATCATTAGAATTGCAGTCAGGGCAACCCCTTCTTATTGCCCTCAATTTCCTCAAAATTCACAAGTTGAAAGAGCAGCTCAGAGAGCACGATTGTTGTTGTTCTCGGAAGGAGCGCGAACAAACAAACAAACAAACCTTCGCTCCAGAACAGCCGGGTGTACAAGTATGATACAGTACACCCCCCAGAGAAAACCACGCGTCCGCCGCAAACATCACCAAAAGTTGATCAGAAACCCAGCCCTGTGAAACAAGCGTCAACGCCAACTACTAATCCAACCAATGGCAGCTCCCCGTAGGAGAAAGAAGGGAAGAAGAAAAAAAAAGCCCATCCCCCAAAATGGTTCTCACAGCTGATGTTATATACCGGTAGTATGATACTCGAGTAGGGTGCCGGTATCATAAGCTGCGCGACCGATTACTCGTACCGGTATAGGTGCATCACTGAACTGTTGGGCTTGTCTTCTCACTCACTGCAATTGGTCAAAACAACAAACAACATTGGACGCAGACACACTGACACACACACACACGCACACACACAATTGCTCACAGCCGCCTTGTGCCGGGGCTGTTGCGCTAAGGGTGTTCTCCTGCCTACGGCAAATACTCGTACTGGTATCATATAGTACCATATGATGATTATGATGATGGTGATGAGACGGCATTTCCCAGTCCCACGCGGGGTCACCCTGTTCTAACAGTGGAGGGCGTGGCCAGCACCACCGCACCCGGTTGAGGCCTCACGCTAGCACTGCACTGTACAGCACTCGTTGTCGGTGACTTGCTGCAGCTAGGTCACCCTCCCAACATACGGTGGCTTTCGACGACCGGCCAGGGACTGGACAGCAGCTGCAAGTCGGATCATGACTTCTCACTCTCCAGAAGATGCCAATACGGGCACCCCAGTAAGTGAGGAGCCGCTCGAGGCCAGAATACCCCCCAAAAAATGCGGGTTTTCGGATGGCCGTTATTGTACTAGTTCTGCTACAATAGGCTTGAAGAGAGACTCCGGAAAACAACCAAGTGTCCGGGATACGTAGCACAGCTTTTGCCCATTTTTTATATGCAGCGTGCAGGAAGTGAGAGGCAGCTGAAGTACGAGCCCGGTGATGGAAGAAATTGACCCCCTTTGGCTTCCACACAAAATGCACGAGTTTGGCCAACCACTACAAACCTGCGCACCAGATTTCCTTCTCCAAACGGAAATTAGATGGAAGGGAATCATATACAATCCCGATTTCTTTTTTTCTTTCCTTCCTCCCCCCGGCTCCGCTTAACCCTGGCGCTGCAGTGGGGGAATGGAGTTAGTGGGAATGGTTGCGATACCTTAAAGTACAAACCGCATGTCTTGGCAGTGCCCGGTCCTTTTGAGATACAGTGTACCGGTACTGTACTGCACTCGAGTACCGTACCTGTAGACACCCGGAACTCTTGGGCCCAGAATTTTTGGAGCAGTTTCTGTAACGTCATGTTCAGGTTGTGTGAACTTCCTCCATGTCAAATTGCACAACCTAAAAGAACAAAAAAAACAAAAAAACAATCCCACTAGATTTTTCTGAGGTTATGGTGGTATGTAGGGCTACTATACCCGTCGGGAAATAGTCATTCTATATGGAAAACCCGGTGTCCGTCAATAGGGACTTTGCGAAAAGACTCTGGATGTGGGTCAAACAGGGTTCCGGGCCAATGAGATCGCTAGAATTTGACTCTGGATCCGAAATCGCAAAGTCTCTAGTCTCCATTGTTACCAAGGCCGTTATCATACTATCGGTGCTACCATACTCGCGGCCGGCTACGATGTATCATATAATAATACCGTATCATATCCTTTGCATACAAGTACAGAAAACCCTGGTCTTGGCAGGTACGGTACTGCACCACCGGGCTGCTATCGTAGGAAAGCGTTGATCGTTAGTCTATCCCGGTTGGGCAGAAAAATTTGATAAAGTTAGATCCAGGGAGGCCTTGGGATAATCTACCCTTTCATTTATTTTTCCCTTTCAATAAAGCTCGTTGAATTTTGCCGGATCGGGGGGGGAGGGGGGAAAAAAACTCCCAGTTTTAGTGTGTATTTTGGCAATCCGTCTCCTTACTATGATACCAACCCGTATTGATATGATGTAACGCCAGGTACAGGAAGCAAAAGCCCTCTATTTTCCCCTTAGTCGTCAACCTCCCCCTCCCCCGGTGATTCCGGCGTGCTTATGCCGTACGATATGAACAAAATGAAGGAGATAGGTAAGGCATCTGTTAGCCCACCGTGACAAGGTGAAGCCCCCCCAAACCCCTATAAACCTTTCAATCCAGAGCTATGGGATCCCAGACTTGACTTGACTCTTCCTTCTGCACACCCAATCATTTCATATTCGGGTGTCAGAACAGATGTGATGATAATAATAAAATCTTTGCCGAAAGGGAAAGGGAAGGGGTAGAGATGGAGAAATAGCAAAGAAAACTATCAGAAAACATACTCCGTACTGTACCATATTTGCCATCAGATGCTTAATCCTTTCTTTGCTTCAGACGGGAAAGTGAAATACCCCAGAAGTTTCTTGGAAAAAATAAATGAAAATCTGTAAAACGCGCCGTCCATTTCGTAAACCATGAGAAACACCCGGAAAAAAAGGAAAAAAAGGAAGAAAGAAACACTTATTTCTTTGATTTGGAAACTTTTCCACCTCTTGTCACGGCCGTTCTATTATATAACAGGAAAAACTAGCTAAGTTAATGATCAAGAGAGGAACACAACAAGAAGAGCAATTAATAGTCGTAGGTTCAAAAAATGATTGCAACTATTATCGTTCACCTTCCTATCTGTTTTCAACAAGGTAAAAGCGGTGAGACACAATGAGACGAGAGCTTCAAGCAACGAAACTCCACAATTTCAAACTGTTCCAACTTGCTTATCAGATTGCGTATCTAGACTTTAGAGCCTCACGATCCGGTGCCGGAATAGCGCTCATAAACAAATCAAAATCCGTAATGAACGATTTGTATCCAATGAGCGTCTAGATTTACCACAAGTCAGAAGTGTTCAAAAGCATTATGATCACACAAGAGAAGAGCAATGCATCTTACCTGTCGGAACAATGCAGACAATTCAGGGCTAGCGTGCTTGTAGCGAGCAATGGCTCGGAAGAAGGGCACCAGGCAGCTTTCCATAGCCTCAGGATTTCGGCCAACAACCATACAAAACCCCTTCAGGGCGGTGTCTTTCTCATCTGTTTCCGCCACCTTCTGGAGAGCATCTAGGAACGGGTACGCAAACGACTCAAGATGAGGAGCAAGCTCATCACAAGAGCCGATCCCAATGCGGCCAAGGGCCACAGCGGCATTCTCGGTCACGGATGAGGGGATTTCGGGTGTTTGTATGATTTTGACCAGCCTATTGTAAAGTTTTTCGACGTAAGGTGCCATCCCGGACCCTGAATCTTGAAAGTTAGCTGACATGTGCTTGATATATACGGCTGGTGGATCTACCTTGCTTCAAAGCAATTTCCCCGCAACTCCAACAAGCATTATTAACCACGCTATATCCTGTATCACTCTCGGCGTCGGACAGGGACTGAATTTGTAATTGCTGGATCAAGAGCTCCATGATGTTAGGTAGGAATGGGTGTAACTGCTCAAAGACATAGATAGCACAATCCCCAAGTAAGGCGTAGGATGATTGCTTCACATCGTTACTCGGATCCTGTGGTTTATCAGCCAATTCTTTCTGGAGAATGGTGGGCAATCAAGACCTACCGCCATACAAACAGTCAGGAGTTGAAAGAACGGAGGTGTTGTCCCAGAGATCAGCTCTGCGCTTCTTGAATCCAAAGCTTGAACCACCGCGCTGAGAAGATCCAAGCTTGTGACCAAGAAATCCTTGTCAGGCTCATCCAACGAATTATCGTTATTGTAGGCCATCTGCAGCTCTAAGTTTTGACGGATTATGTTGATGCATCGAAGGAATATGGGGCCTGCGAATGGTGCGAATTCCCTCCCAAGGGCTGTAGCAACATAAGATAAGCACTCAAGGAGAGGAAACAGCTCCCTTGAGTGGTCCTTGACAAACTTCCACCTGTTAATAAGAGCGGGCATCAGGATATCGACCAGTGGTTTCTCCGCTAAAATACTCCCGACATGCTCCGCAAGGGTCTGGATACAGTCGTAGAGGATGAACATATTCCGGTCCTTATATTTTCCCATTGCTACAACAAATTGCCGGACAATCGGTTCAATGTAGGGCTTCAACAAATCCTTGCTCTGCTCTTCGAGGTTAGCAAAGGCACTAGCGCCCGCCTCCTGCACTCTCTTGTTGCGATCCAACATTTTATTCAGTATTCCCCCCATCATGGGCTCAAAATACTTTTGTTTATCGGCCGGATTTTCGAGGTGAGAGGCCCAGCGGGAATAGCGACCGAGGGTCCAGCACGTGATTTGGCGCACCAGCGGCTCAGGATCATCGAGCAAAGAGATGAGATAGGGTATCAGGTCAGGGAGATGCGGGACGACACCTTCGAGACAGCCATCAGCTACCGCGCCGAGCGCTAGGACGGCCGCCTCCCGGTAGGGCCATTCCGGATGTCGAATATTCTCCTTCAGATAAGGCAGGATGGTCTCGAAGACTGATTGATGGAACACGGTTGCCAAGACATCCAGGGCTGCCGCTGAGCACTTCCGCAAATTCCAGCGATCCTCCGGGTCTTCCATCCCAGCATAAGCATCGTCTTCAGAATCGTACTCTTCGTCGATTTCCCCATCACTCAGATCATCCAAGGCCTCTTCCCCTGGGGTCTTGCCATTTGACTTTTTTCGCTGATCGAAAACCTCCACACTCTCACCATTCGGTAATCTTTGCTTACTCTTTGCAAAGTTTGGCCTTATATCTTCTGCTCGATCCTCAACATCTGCATCGTCTCCCCCACCCCCTAATCTAGCTCTATCCTCTTCGGAGTAAACCATAGACGCTAGCAAGACGGGGACGATTTCCGATAGATACGGCCCCAGTCCAATTCTCAAATGTTCGTGCTCCCCGACAGTCAGCCAGAATTCAGCGGCATCTAGGGCCAAGTCCTGCTCCTCCGTATTCTTCTGCTGAGTAAGCATATAGTCCACGATTCCTTGCATATGGGGCGCTATCTTGTCCGCCCGGATGTCAACCAGATGCACCAGAGCCCGGCAGACTTCCCTCCGTACTCCGGTATCAGCATCGTTTCCTAGGCGAAACAAACTCTCTATGAGCGTATCGATGTGGACAAGGATCGACTGAGTTTTCATTGGCAGATATATGTTGACAACCTCCAAGGCCTGCATGCGCACTTTCGGGACAGGGTGCTGCGTAAATAGTAGAAACTTAGGGATGAGTATATTGAGGGGCCTATAGCCATCGTATTCCTCGTCGAGCTCGTCCTTGCTATCCTGGCAAACCTTCAACAACGCTCCCATAGCCCCCTCTTGTGTCTCCGGAGTGGTGTTTCCATCAGTATTCTCCACAAGCGAAATCAGCTGGGCTAGCATGTCTGTCCAGGACATGACCCCCCCAATACGCAACAACTCGGTGATAACATTGCCTGTGTAATTTCGTATCTGATGATGAGGATCCCTCAATCCCAGCAAAAGCTCCGACTTTATATACTCGATGAATGCCGGTGCCAGAGCTCTCCCCAGACCCAAGATGTTATTCTTTAGGAGGACGCCGGCCGAGCAACGAATAACGTGGTATTCGGCAACCGCCATATCCGGGGGGGGGTTGGGGTGAACGAGGATGTAACACAAGTAGTTATTGATATCCGGGGATTGACTGGCTTGTTGTAGCATCTGTCATCAATCATCAGGGGGCTGTAGCGGGAATGGAAGATGCCATATCACATGCGCATCAATGCACGATGATAGAAAGGGCGACAAACCTCACTAGCATGCCGTTGAGCAGCCTGATTATATCTGTTCAAACTATCCTTCAGATAGCCCGCCAACTCCCGTATCGGTGCTTCTTCCGGTTGCCACGCCATTATTCGATGATTTTGGTTCGGGAGGATGATGGCACTCGCAAGTGATTAGAGAAGTTGAAGCTGCAAAGTTTCGACTGCGGATATGGTCGAGCGAGGACGGTGGGAAAGGCAGCGGTGGCGGTGATGGTGGTAGCAGTTTTAACCAGCAGTCTGTGTGGGTAGTGCTGAAGGTCGGCAATGACGCTGGGGGCCTAGGGCAAGAAGAGGGGAAGAGGGCTATTTATTTTCGCCTAGTTAGATAATTGACCCCCCGTTGGGATTCGGTAAGGGAAAGATGCTGGAGGAATGATTGATGCAATGTTTTGGGGCTAGGGAATAAGTGAAATTTGCGAGACGGCTCAAATTCTGAAGCCCAGGAGAACTTTCGGGGCGCACAAACCCTTCAAACCTTAGGCTGCTCTTCGGTAAAAAAAAAAAAAAAAAAAAAAGAAGAGGGCAGTGGAAGAGATAGAGGGAAAAAAAAACAAAAAAACAAAAAAACAAAAAAAAACAAAGGCCAGTTAGAACCCCCTGCGTTCAGTGGAAGCGACGGGTGAGGATCGCTACAGACCACGCAGCAGCAAGAAATCGATGAGAGTTGGCGGGCAACCGAGGTGGGAAACAGAATGGAAAGGGGAGGAAAGATGTGGGGGAGGCGGCGAGGAGAGCGTGGAGGGGTAAAGCAAGCGTGGAGGGCGGGGGGGGGGGGGGATGGGTGGATGGACAGACTGAACGGAGGGCAAGGAAAACTGGTGAGAAGAGAGAGGAAAGGACGTGCCGTGCAACGAATACCGCAGGTATAGCAAAACAGAAGAATGAAACTTACCCACGGCGGAAACTTTCAATTGCTTTCCTCTTTCTCTTCTATCGTGTTCTTTTTGGATCCCCCTTACGACGGAAAAAATGATAATCAATCAATCAATCAATTCGCTCTTCTTCCCCTCGTCTCGCAACCTGGGAGGTAAGAGAGGTTCACCTACAGAGCTGCAAGGGAGAGAGGAAAAAGGGAGAGGGAGAGGAGAAAAAGGAAAGAAAGGATGGCGATTTGCTACTGTAGAACTGAAGCAGGTGTTGTGAGCACGGCCAATCAGATCGAAGCGAAGGCGAGCTAGCAGCAAGGTAACGAGTAATTGGGGAAGAGGGAAAATTTTTAGGAAGGATGAAAGATATGTATGTAGGGTACTGGTATGGGTTGAATGATACCTACATGGAAAATACAGGGTTATTTAAAGCAAGACTGCAAGAGGCTGACCGGTGCGTGGATGACGGACAATTATTTGCAGGAGAGAGGGATCATAGGACGGAGAAAGAGGTAGGGCACGGGTGCGGTAGACTACACACTCTTCACTCATGTCCTCTTACTACCCGAATGATATGGTGTGGTATTGGCTCACGGGTTGCTGGATGATGATAGACGGTTCGATAAATGTGGGAGAAGCGGAAGAGGGAGAGAGACTCAATAGGAAGGCAAGAGGGAAAAGAAAGGAAAAAACGGTGGGCACAGAGTTGAGGGGTTCATTCTCTGTCCTCCTCCCTACACCACCCCTCCACCCCTCCCCCTCCCCCTCCCCCTCTCTCCCTCTCTCCCTCCCTCCCTCTCTCTCTGAGACTCTCCTCTTTCGCTTTGCTCTCCACCCTCCTTCTGTCAGTCAGCCCCCGCTCGTGCAGCATGGTGCACACTCGCCGGAGGGTGTGGGCTAGGGGTTAGGGTAAGCTATCTCTGCGACGACCGTACTCGTACCCTTCTCTACACTACAGTACTGTACGAGTACATAGACGCCAGAATCCTTCCTTGCACGGCCGGCAACTTGCTGTTCCATGTGTGGCTTAGCGCTGCCCTCATCCGTACCATACGATCATGCACGCCGCTCTCGCTCCAGCATTTGACCTGGACTAGAGCCACGACACAACGCTTTGCCTCGGGACAAACATGCAAGGCTACGGTAGTGATGGTTGAGTGAGCTACAGGTAAACAGGGTGTCCCACGACGGCCGCCAAAATGGACCAATATAATACCCGGTATGGCATGTATCTAGTGCCCTGCTTGGCACCGACCTGGGCCATCCAAACCGTTTCATCCAAGATAAATTTACCATCGTGCATCATGAAATTGTCACAGCCCACACAACCTGTATACGGTAGCACCCGTATTATTATTGCCAGGAAAACACGTTACTCCAGCTCAGGAACCCCGCGAGGGGCCATTTCAAGAGGCTGGCCCGTAATGTCTACGATAAGATAAAACTCAACGGGCAACACTCTGGACGCGTCCACAGTGTATGGTGCTGGACAACCAAAACCTGCCCTCCACCCAAAGCTCCTGGAATACCCGGACAAACTGGATTATCCATATTCAGGAGAGAACTTTGAAAATGGTTCCTCTGGTTGTTTTGTAAAGAGCCCATATTAAGAGCATCTCATGATTGCTGTCCTATTTTCACCCTATCATTGCATTTGGAATCGTTGACTGGAATCATGTTGTAGGGGTGCTATCTGACAAAGATGTGCGACATCTCCAACTCTGACTCAAATCACCACAACAACTTCCTGGAGGGCCATATGTGAGAACAAAAATCATATATCAATTCTAGCTCATTATTTAAACAACTTTACCAGAGGGATTTTCAGTATACCTTCTCAAAGAGAGGCAGTTCCCGATTTTGAAATTTTGGATCGAGCTGGCCGCAAGGGTAGGTTATGGTTGTCCGGGACCATAGCTTTCTGTATTGTATTACCGGTATCCTGACGATATTGTAAGTTACCGCCACCACCAGATCCCCACCCACAGCCAAACACATTGTGTACTGTACCATGCTATACAACCTCACGATATCAAATCCAGGAGCCCGCCATAGAGTGGCCCATAGTTAGACACGAAGGCGCAGCATTCTACGATATGATGTCTACATGATTCGTCGCAGCAGATCAATCACAGATCCGTTTGCAGCAGATCCCCCCCCTCGGGCCAAGCATCCGACCCACACGGATGGGCCGAATGATGATGATGGTGATGCGAAATCTCTGATTTCAGTTGCGGTACGGTACTTACAGCGACCCCGAGCGAGATGAGGAGGCCTGCTGCCGCTTCCACGATATCATGGAGGACAAACATCTCCCTCTCCCTCCACTAATCGATAGAGTTTTGCTTTCGCTATCCGCTTTTTTTTTTTTCCTTTCTGTTGTTTCACCTATTCGACGTGACTCTCGTCAAAGGCAGCGCTGGTTCTTTGCCTTGCCAAAGTAAGAGAGAGAGAGAGAGAGAGAGAGATGTAGCCTCCCGGAAACAATAATTTCGTTGCTTTGTAACACCTGCGAAAGCGTTCGTTCGTGCGTGCGTGCGTCTGTCTGTATGTGTCCCACATTTCGGGAGGATGCCGCTTCGAGAAAAAAAACCAGCTATCCTCCCGACAAAATGCATATCCTACTCTGTCGCATGGCAAACTCCACCTCGGTAGGATTAGCGAGGTCGAGGGGACCATGAGGAAGGAAAGGGGAAAAGGGAAAAGGGAAAAGGGAGAAATAAAGGAAGAAGAAAAAAAATTGTATTGTTGGCTTAAAGGGGCGGATATCACGGAGCAAACAAACAGATTCTTTTGTATCATACCAAACAAGACCGATAATCATATCATACCTTAACTCCCACCACCTCTCCATACAAATCTTCTTCCGGAAAAAAAAAATACATTCACACCCCCTCACTCGCTAATCACCGATCGGGCGCGTCACATTCACTTATCCATCCAACCAACCAACCAACCAACCGGCCAACCAACTTCCATTACCCATCCCTGACACAGCATAACCTTCCCCCTTCCCCTTCCACTTCCCCTTCCCCACCCCCCTCCTTCTTCCCCAATGTTATGCATACCGTACTGTACGTACCGCATAACTTCGCTTGCCTTCTACTATCGCATACCGGTACACTCGCATATTGCGTTTCCTCCCCCCCAACGCGTGATTCCGCGAAACCCTATTCACAGCCATTGTGGTCTGATTTATGCATTCGTAGATGCAGTGGGGGAGGCTGGAAGTGCCTAGATATGGTATGATATGATACCGTACTGACCAACTGGCTAAACCGATTAACGTGACAATCCCAATGCGGAGAGGGGGGGAGAGAAAGGGGCTAAGGAAAAAAAAAGTTCCGTATCGTTGCGGAGTGGTCGGTTTTCCATTTTTGTTTTTATTTTTGTAGTCGTTAGAGATGTATTAATGCTTGTATGTATGCGCTATGGGAGCTAAGCTGAATGCATTCGGTATATATATATGTACATTTTGCGGTACGGTGGGCGTATTGTTGGACACCGTATGGTTATCACGGCTGGATGGATGGAGTGGATGAATGGGTGAATGTGCTTTCCAAGTGATGGCGGTGGTAGTGGTGCGTTTCGTATATGCTGTATTGTCATGTATGTATACACGTATGTATACATGTGTTGTTTCTTCTTCTCCTTCTTCTTGCATCCGAGGGAGGCAGTGCATATGTCTGCCTCTGCAAAGCAAAGGGTTTGGTCTAATGGTCTGCTCGTACTAGTACAGTACTGTACTGAGAGAAGGACGGAAGAAGAGACGGTTGCACACCTGCCGAGAAAGGTTACTAGGTGTCACCAAAAGAAATCGCCGGAAGTTGTCATCTACTGTTTCATATTATCATCGTACAAGTGCTGTGAGACTGCTCCGGTATGATAAAATGTTGAGGGAGGTGGAACCTTCCCTTGTTGGGTTGACATGGTAGGATAGGGGGACTACCTTATATAAATCCAGAACGGGGACTTACTGGTGGTGTCACGAAAGTTGTCAACGCAGTTGGTCGTAATGGATTCGTAGGCGTTACAGTGCTGTAGATTATATTATACGCGCCCTACAGAACTGTACTAGTACTCTTCGAACTTCCAGATGTCAGTACCATAGCGGTTGAAGGGAACACCCCCCCGGAAAACCCCGGTTTTGTCATACAGCGCTTACTTCCCTAAATATTAGTATCCGTTCTTAAAGTGCCCCCCACCCCCCCCCACTGCTCCAGCGTGATACCATTGGGCATGCTAGATTAACGTTGGTTCATATAATATCACTCGTAACTATGGTGTATATACTTGTGTCCAGCCGTGGGGTAACTAGGTTCCCCGCTGGGCTGGGATATCATGTGTTAAATTATCATGACATATCCTCAATAGCCATATATCGTACCATATAGTGGGGATGATGCCCGGCTATCGCCTAGTACCGTATGATACTTAAATATCCTACGACAAAAAATCTCGATTCCGCAACGTAAAAAGGCACGATACCGTAAGTATGACCTAACCCACCCCAATCACGTCAAGGGCGGAAAACCAGTATGGAGAGTGACACATACGGTACTGTACAAGCAAACACAGCACAATGGCGGAACCACCATTTCTACTTGACATCCCCCCCCCCCGCCCCGGCCCAACCTCTTCCGGATTAAATCCGCACACGGCGGGCGGGTGGCCAGGAGTAACAAGCACAACAGCTGAATATTTATGACTTCCTGGGTATGATATAAATAAGGCAGTATTGGATAACCCTCTCCCACCCTCTATTGTTGGCATTCACGAGGATTGATGGGGGTTTTTTTTCTGCTTGCAGTTACTATTGCTCCAGCATAAATCGTGGCGCGACGACAAAATCCCGACTAGGTGGGTTAAGGGAGGGAGAGGTTGTGTGTGTGTGCAATCATACGCAAGAAATTTGCTCGTCGTCGTGGAAGGCGACTGTTGGAAAGTATTATATAAGACTGATACCAAAAGCTGTGAGTTTGTCGTAGGGGGTAGTGCGATGCTATCTGTGATGATTGGTGAGCTCCGGCAGGGCTGGCACGGACGTATTATGCGCCTGAAACTTGCTTTCCTGCTCCTTGATCTGTACGGATGTAACTCAAAATGGACATTTTGGTTCTATATAAGTAAAGTTGATTGGGTGGGGGTATGGTTGAGCTAACGTTAAGGTCGGACTGGTGATAATAGTCAGTAGAAGCAGGTGTGACACCCCACAAATTTAATTTAATTCTAGGCCCTGCACGGCATGTATCATACCAATTTAAAAAAAAATCACAATAAAAAGCTGAAAATAGAATATATTCTGAAATGGAAAAATAGTATTTTTCTGAAAAAATGGCTGCTCAGTAACACCAATATTTTTTTTTTAGAAATACTCTCTTACCCCACTGTTAACAATCATATCAGGTAAGGTTATACCTAATTAACATAAAATATACTGTATAGCTTTGATACCAATACTGGCTGGGTCTCCATTGGTGGGTCATTTGCTGGTAGGTAGTGTTTATACTTTTGTCATTTACTACTTTTTCATGAAATTATTGAAAGTATAAAGATAGAAGGACTTAGATAGGTATGTAAGAAATAAATAAACATCAATCACAGTATCTACAGTCTAAATTTTGTTTATAGAAACCATTGGATTCATTATATCTTTATCTACATCAGATTAAATTCTCAATTTTTGTGCCATGCCATGCAGGACCCAATTTAAATATATTTAAATGGTGAAAAAAAATCGCATTAAAGTAGAAAAATTGCAATTTTTGTGGCATGCCGTGCAGGGCCTTAAATTTTTTAATTTAAATTTTTTTAATTCTTTAAACATATTCAATTCTGATATGTTTCTGTAAGACCAGTTATTAACTACATATCTGTATTTACATAACATGGGTGCAGTTTTAGGAAAGACGGGGAAACTTGCACATGATAACGATTTTTATTATTTTCCCAAAACTGCACTCATATGACAGTTTACAAAGTTTAGGCTAGTCGACTGTAGCGATAACATTTTGGCCAAAGGTAAAACCCGAAAATGGATACACAAGAGCATGCCATTGGTCGTGCTTTCGGGGCCCTGGTTGCCAAAATTGGGCTTAGATTCAATCTGCACTTAATTAGGAAGGTACTGCGACCTGGCTTGGGTGCACAGGCCGGTTCGGCTGTTGCGCAGTATACTTGTACAGTTACAAATAAATAAATATATCGAGGCTTGGAAGGCTTGAACGTTCTGTGGTGGGTTGTTGGTGGAGATTATATTGGTGTCCGGAGGATAACTCACCATGAATAATTGTTGCTTAAACCAACCATCTCTTACCCCCATGGTCTAGTAGAATCAAATTGGTCACAACCGTTGTAAAGATGGAGGAGGGTAAAGGCATAAATTATCAGTTAGGCTATTCGGTAATGTTCGTGCCTCTCTGAAACTTGTTTGAGCTCCTGTGCTCTCTTCTCTTTTTCTTCACGTCTTCCTTCCCGCTTCTTCCAAAACTAAGGGTGTTAATCTGCCCCTTTAAATACTGCCATTCCACCAATAGAAACCATTCACGAGTCTATAACAATACACATAAAAAGATTGCAAATGTCCATATGAGTGACGACAAGTGCATGCACATCCACTTGTTCTAGAACGCTGTGGGAGACTACTCAAGTAAGATGTTCAGAGGGGTGTTCTTGCTTCTAAGAACTAACTTATGGGATAAGAACGACTTAATATGCATGACTAACACCCACTATCCGCGTGCCATTCCATGCACTTCGGTTGTGAGAGGTTATGAGAGGTAAGCCTGAAATAAAAAAGTAGGGTGTGGTTCGGTCGTTGGCGCCTGGGTAGAGGTCGGGAACAGACTTTCGATTTTGGTGAGTACTTCTCTGACAGCATCGGGAGCATTACCGTAAAAACTCGAATACAAGAGAAATGTGCTAGGACGTTGCAGTTGCCTCTCCTAGTATGGCGCCGTGTATATTCCTTTTGTTTTGTCTTAGCTGAGGGCTGAGTTTGCGGTGGTTTTCCCACGCTTTGTCGAGAAGGGGAATTCCAACGTCCTAGCACATTTCTCTTGTATTTGAGTTCTTACGGTACCGCAACTTACATCCGTTTAGGACTAGTAGCAGGATCTTTATCACCCCTTATCCCTGACCCGGAGCTGGTGAGTCTCCCGTAATACATGTGACAAGGAGATGACAGATACTGTCATTGGCTAGTTCAGAGTTCGGTTTGGCAAAGTTTCCACTCCCGAGTGAGGTGGTAAGTAGCAGACCTTGCCTCACGATCATAAGTAATGGACTCCAAGCCCTCCCCTCTTGAACAGCCCCTCCTTCCGGACCGTAAGGACAGTAATGGAATCTTGGAATGTACAGAGTATATGCTTTTGCAGAAAACTTACTACTGTCGTACACGAATGAATAATGATTTGGTTCGTATAACAGATAGGCAGATTAAGTCAGGCATTCATCACTTCGAAGCAATGTGATTGACCCGTAAGAATATAATATAGAGCTAGGGTAAAGGTGCTAAAGCCCAATATGATATCATAAAACAAACAAACGAGCACCCCCAAACGGGAGATCGAGAGGGTTGAGGAGGGAGATTGAATGGTTGAAAGATAAAATGGAGCAGATGTTTACTGCTCTAATAGAAATTCCCCCTTCATCTAATCTTTGCAGAGGCAAGTTAGTATTAAATTGGTAAGGGGGTGATTTGGCGAAACCAAGGAGGCACGAACCGGGAATAGAGGAAAACAGTGAAAGAAGGAGTTTTGTATTGAGGGGATTTTCCCGCTACTTATACTTCACGGATGGCTCCAGGGAGCAAACATGTCCAAGACTCTGTCAGGAGATATCCAGCAGGTATTACCAGTTTCCCTTCCCGCACCCACTCGATATCAAAATCTGCGCTGGCCCGCCCTACAGAGACCTATTCTCATACACCTCGATAATATAATGAGATCTTTGGAGGCCTGGTTTGGTGTGTTGGTAGGCCTGTGAGCTGGTTTTTGGCCCCTCTACTTTTATTCGGGTTCTGACAGGATTCTCCCTATCGCTGGTAAGCCCACTCGTTGAGCAGTTGTTACCCCTAAAACCTGTCATTACAATCATTCACTAGAGTTGCGACTTGACCCCCTTTGCTATCCCTCTTTCTTTGGATCCTCTATAATACCTTCAGAAAGGCACAAAATGGGCATCCGAATCCTAGGGTGAAGGGGGCGCTGCCCTAAAACCAAACACGATATATTTATCTGCAATTTTCCACACAGGATATAAGATAGTAAACATAAACATACAAAAAAAGCAGACATTGTTTAATTCTAATTTCATCTACAGTTCATCACGTTTCCGTTCCTCAATCTCCTCCTCGACCTTCTCCTCCCCGACCCTCTCCTCGACCCTCTCAGTCTTCTCCCCAGACTCGGGCTTGATTTCATCCTCTGCCTCATCCTCTGACTCAGTCTCACCCACCGCCTCGTCTTCCTCTCTCGCAGCGGTCTCAGCTTCAGCTTTTGCTTTTGCCTCGGCTTCCTTCGCCTCCTTCTCTGCTGCTGCTGCTGCCTTCTTCAGACTTCTCACCCTCATGTCATCAAGCTCCTTCTTTGTATGAATCGAAGTGATGAGCTCAGTGGTAAGCTCCTTAGCCTTAGTGGTGACCTCCTCAGAGGTTGTTACGGGGTCCTCATGGGGCTGGAGCTTCTCCTGAGCAGCGCTCTTCTCTTCAGCCCAGGCTCTCCCTTTCTCATAGGCTTTCTTCAACGGTTCCAAGTCGAATGAGTAGTGATCGTCGGATTGTGCCTCGGCAAGGGATTCCTCACGCTCGATGAAACCCTCCATGGAGGTAAGGATACTGTTAAGACCTTTGAGAGCCTCCGGTAGGCTATCCTTCTCTGTCTTTCTTTTAGAAATGGGGGCTTCAAGAGCCTCAAGCTGCTTGATTTTTTGGTGGACTTCTTTAAGGCCAGCAGCATATCCATCACCATAAAGCCAATCGCTGGCCTCGCTAATCATGACGTCCAATTTCTCACGCTGCTCTTCGGTAGAGACGGCGATGAATGCATCGTCACTCAAATAACCTCTGGCGCGGTAGGTATACGCTTCAAGGTTGTTACGGGCTTCCTCAAGATTCTTACGCTCTTTGTCGTTCTTGTCAAAACCGCGGATCCTAGGTGAATGTCAGTAAACAAGTAATATTATTAGTAGGCTAGAGGGACGGAATCACTTCAGGATCAAAGCTTTCTTGTCTTTTTCCGGAATGTTGGGGAATCCGCCCTTGGTAATGGTATACTTGACAGGAATCTTCTCAATTCTCCTGACGGCCTTGGGCTCTGAATCCGCTGACTTAGTCGATTTCGGGGTTGCCGACGATGAAGTTGATGAGGACTTGGTGGAGGTAGATGATGACGACGACGACGGGTCTTCGTCCTTCAAAACTTTCTGCTCACTATCCTTCTTTCCATAGCCGAAAAAGCCCTTGACATCCTCAAAGGCGCCGCTGGCGTCTTTCTTTGGAGCTTCGGGAGCAGTCTCAACCCCACATTCGACCCAAAATCTGATGACCTTTGGGAGAGAGTCTTTAGGGTTGAGCACAATGCCGAATTTGGTAACAATATCTTTCTCCGCACATCCAAAGTCTTCTTGAAGCTTCTTGACAGAGTCGGTAAGGTTGGATGTCTGGATAGTCTCGAGCAATTCCTGCCCAGGTTTTTGGTTAGGGTCGTTGATCCTAGGAGGGAGGTTGTAGAGAGTGCTAAAAGTGAACTCCGAGTTACGAGAGAAAGGAATGGTCTTCTCATTGCCAATCTTGGAGTAAAAAGGGAAGATTTGTTGGACGGTCTCTATAGAGGTATTAGCGACGATCGATCTTCCTTATAAGGTTCACCCACTATCACATACCTTTCCTTGCCTCTGCATCCTTTTTGTACTTGATAGAGACACCGAATGCACCAAGGTCCTGGGTTCGGATCTCCTTCACCTTGAAAGCGCCACTCTCAGCAGCACCCTTGAAAGTAGCTCCAAGAACAGCTGACTCATCAGGATTGACTTGCTTAGAGATCTTCTCAGCACCTCCCATGATATCTTCGATCTTCCTTCCGACGAATGGAGTTCTGACAGCACCTCCATGGACGATCAAGGTATTGACTTCACTCAAGGCGATGTTAGCGATGCTAATTGCATCAGTGATCGGCTTGGTGATGCGAGCCTCGTACTGGGCGAGAAGCTCCTCCAAGGTAGCGCGAGTGATTTTGCTGGAGCGGAAATCAATATCCTTGTATAATGACTCGATAGAAGCAACGGTGTCAGCATTGGCGGAGAGAATCTGCCGGACTCTAGTGGCCTCCTTCCAGAGCTTAGATGCAGCCCGGCCATTGGTGCGAACAGTGTTCTTGAGGTCCAGGTCCTCCTTGAGGAGCTCCTTTGCCTTAGGGTTATTTACAAAGTCGTCCAGAAGGATTTCGAAAACCTCCTGGTTAAAGAGATCTCCACCAAGCTCAGCGTCGTAGCCAATGCCAAGAACCGCGACCTCCTGGACTGTCTTATTGAACCTCCCAACATCCTTTACACTCCTGCCTTGGAACCTCAACAAAGTAGCCGTAGTCGACCCCGCGCCCATGTCGTAAACAATGTGATACTCGGGCGAGCCCTCATTGAAAGTACGAGTGGTAGCGTAATTGATACCAACAGCCAACCCGTCCGAAACAAAGCTCATAACCTTCAATCCAGCAAGCTCAGCGGCAAGCTTAAGAGAGCTCCTCTCCTCGGCCTTCAAAAACGCCGGAACCGTAAACACCACATCCCTAATCCTCGTGTTCGCTCCCGCCAAAGCTTCCGCATTGTGCACAATTGACTTGAACTGCATAGCCAGGAGCTCCTCAACCGTGAACCCCCCCACACCATTATCCACAGGCGGCGCCGACGAACTCTGGAACGCAACCGTAGACCGGAAAATGTTCGGGACAACCGAGAGCGCGGGATTCCTCTTTGAATACGCGGCGACCGAGCCATCCGTGATGTGCTGACCCATAACCTTCTTCAAACCCGGGTAGACATCGTGCGGGAACCTAGCTGCGAGGTTGACCGCGTCGGCGCCGTACAGTCGTTCCGGGTATGAAAATTCCCCCTTTTCGCCGTTGCTAGCTGGCTTGAAGCCTATAGCTGCGGCCTCCTTGCGCTTGGTGTCCTTCGTCAAGACTATCTCGAGGGGGATTCCGGGCTTGACCAGCGCCGCTTTTATGAATTCCTGGCCAAAGTCTATTCCCAGTACGGCGGCCGAGGCAGATGCTAAGGAGGAGATGGATAGTAGTAGCAGACCCGTTAGGGCTACTGGCGGCGCAGATATTGGGCGCATAGTTGTCACCAGGGCTCCCACGAATGGGGTACCGGTATGTGGATCGTTGGTATCGCTGTTCTTCCTGTCCTTCTCCGAGCAGTGAAATTCAGGGTCCGCTGCTACTCAGAGTGTGGGGCGAACGATCAACGTGGGGCGCGTAACGTATGAGAAGGAGGGGAAGAGGAAAGAGAGAGAACTGGTTTTCTAAAAAAGGCGAGAGAAGCGTATTTTTTTAAAAAAGGAAAAGGTGGTGGGAAATCTACTTTGATTTATGGTGAGGCTCGGGAAGACAAAAAGGCCAGCTTGCGCCAAAACCCTCTCGCCAAGATTATAGTAGTATGATAGCTCTTTTCTTTTTAGGTGTTCTGTTCGAAAAGACCAGAAAGCAATAGCCGGGCCGGGTAACCAACCTGCCCACATTTAGGTAATGGCTGTCGTATGATAGCCTCCCTCTTCTCGGCAGGAGAGAGGTTCCCCGGACAACGGCCTGACTTGCAGCCCAGTGTTTGGCTTGGTTGGGTAAACAACCCTTGTCGCGAGCTCCCGCCCCCAGTCATTTACCCGTCCTCTGTCCCTTTTCACACACTCTTCCTTACTTCCTTCCACTGCCACCACTACCACCACTGCACCACTACCACTACAACCTAGTCGACCGCTTCCTGCGCCTCACAGAGATACTCCCCCCAAAATAAGGGAATCTACACTATCATACAACTATCGTACTACAACTCAAAATGTCCACGCTATCCACCCCCCGCAAACGTCAAAACCTCACCTCCCAATCCACCATCACCTCGTTCTTCACCCCATCCTCCCGCTTCGCCGCCACCGCTACTACCACCGCCGCGCCTGAGGTCCCGACACCCATCAAGTCTTCCCTCCTAACCGTGGGCATGCGAGTCCGCAAAAGCGTTCCTGAAGGGTACAAGTCCGGAAGCTACAAATTCAATACCTTCACCCTCACCAAATCCAACAATAACAACGGTGCTCTCGCAAAGCTACCAAAGTCTTTGGCCACCGTCGCCCCCGGAAGCCCCAGCAAGAAGCGGGAGTTCGAAGAGGAGGTGGAAGGGAAGGAGAACGCCCCAGCCGAGGTTGTCAGGAAGGAAATCGCCATGCCAAGGTCCCTGCGCAGGAGGTTCCATGCTGCGATTGGTAGGAAGGAAGCGGGAGGGGATGTCGTCATGAGCGAAAGGGATGAGTTTGAAGAGGCGGACTTTCTAGTCCGCAGGGAGTAATTGAGTATAGCGCTCGGGTTTGTGAACGTTGCGGGATTGAACTATGGTAGAGTGGGGGATAGGAAATGGGAAAGCGCGGATTGATCCATTGACAATTGCTTTCTTTTCTTTCGACTCTTTACATTTCTAACGTTGGTATTTCCTTATTTGAAAGGTTGTTTGTGTGTCTACCTACCTACCTGTATAGTATTTCTCATTATTTCTATTTTTCCCCCTGCCCCCTTTGCGTGTACCTCCGTCCGCGGGAAATTTCTATGATACGCTACACTACTACTCTCCGGCGTTTTTAGCTTTCTTTTCTCTTCCTTGTGTTTATTATGGTTGGGGGGGGGGCTTTTCATTCTTCTTTTTCTTTTCCTCTCTGCGAAAAGCGTACACTGTACAGTGTTTTTATTCTCCCTAGAGAGAGGGAAATACCAGTATGGCGAGTGGTGCAGTTAATGGAGTGGTTGTTATTTCAATTGTAAGCTACTGGGTTAAGCCCGGTTATGTCAGTGTTATCATAGTCCCGTTCACTGTAAGATGCTGCGCGACCCAGCGCTCGAGCTCTAATGTAACAATTTTATGCCTTTCGAAGGTGTCGAGTTCTACAGTTAGGGTTTCCTTTCTCCTTAATGCGCCACGATATTGTAGAACATTGAGTACACCTCCACCACAGTATGATACCACCACCCCCGGGCACTCGAGCATTCCACATCACTCCACGCTCGCGGGGAACAACCGCACCAGTCCTCCGGAGAGAAAAAGGGGTCCATCCCGTCCCATAATCGAGAGACGCACCACAGACACCGGTAGAGTACGAATCGTACATTACTGCAATATACACCCATCACGACAACCCATCACCATAAAGTAAAAAACCAAAAACAGAAATAAATAAATAAATAAATATAAAAAAAGACGAACCCCCGGCAATTCCAATACACCCGCCAAATTCCATTCCACCCAGTGCAGGTTTCCATACCGGTACCATACCAAGACATCCATCTCATCATACCCCCTACCGTATCGATAGCTTTTTTCACAGATAATCACTCGGTTGTATTCCGGCCGCCGGTCTAATATCAGAACTGTTATCACACCGTAGAGTGATACGTATAATATTATTATGATATTTACTTTTGTGCCCTGCCGTGAAACAACTCCGTCTATCGTATTGTAGAATGACTAAGGATAAACTTTGCACACACACATCCACGCAGACACCCCTTCAGGCGATCTTATCTACCCTAGAATAGATGAACCGGGCCGGAGCCTTAAGACGCGGGTTTGTTCCGGGGGGGTATTACATATCGTAGTGGCGCATATGATACCTAGCGGGACATCGTTGCTTGGCGGTACGAGTACCATAACCAGGGCTGAACCTTGGATTTAAGTTGGTTAGTGGGGAGGGGGGAAGGGGATTCCTAAATTACGTTCGATGCATGGCCTCTATATAAGTACTAGCCGATTTTTTTTTTAAGTATTCGGAATGGAAAACGTGAATGATCCTGTTATGGTAGTGTAACTGATGCCTCCGCTGGTGCCTAATTTCGCGGAATGGTCATAACTCACTGCTTCAGTCGAGTAACCCACGTTCCGAATACTTAAAAAATCGTCTAGTACAGCATAGTATAGTATAGTACTGTACCGTTGCAACATCGTGAAGAGTTCTGATCGAGTTGTTTCTACTGGGTATTGCGGATGTGTGGTTCGTTGGGTGATGTTCTTTTTCCGGTTGTGCTACGCTGTATATATATATATATGTATGTGTGTGTGTGATACTGTATGTACCGGTATGGTGCCGTCGCCATAAGCGTATGCCTTCTGCGAATGTGAGGTGGGAAAGTTTTTTTTTTTACCGGGTGGATGGGCGTCTCGACTGGCCCATCTCTTTGGGCATGGAAGTGAAGACTCCGCCCGTACCCGTACAGTACAGTACAGTACGGCTGAACACTATTATCGCTTTCTTCACCTCCAACTTGTTCGTATCATATATGCCGCGTGGACAAGGATAGGAAGAGAAAAGCAAGGCAAGAGGAGGAGGGAAAGGAAAGAAGGGAAAGAGGGAGAAAAGGAAGAGGAAGAACACCCACCCTTCCAACTTATCATAACTAAATATGGACCGTTGGCTGGGGGAAATGTTGGGGACGGGTGGTGAATAGGCTGACTTGATTGTATTTCCTAGCTACGAACGAGGCTAAAATAGATGAAAATGAAAACGAAAGTCATAAGATGCTAGTAAAACTACAGCATCTACGGAGCGGGCAAATATCACAGCATAACAAACCATCACCAAGCAACAACCTTCGCCTTCTCCACAACTCCCTCGCCAACCTCCTCAGGCGTCATGATACCGAGGGCAAGCATATCGCCCCAAAACAGCAACGCTCGCTGCTGAGCGTAGCCCAGGTAATCAAACTCGTTCCCATCCTCACCCCCCTTCCCATCCTCGGGCCTCACGTTGTCCGGATCGCCCGCAGCTACTCCTGCCTCTTCAGACATGGGCTCGCCAATACGGTGCTGCTGCCAGTTGATCGCGGCTTCGGTTTCAGGTCCGGGGATCTTGGCTTGCATGATACCCCAGACGCACCACATTGCATGGCAGGCGGCACGCCAGGCTTTCGCTTCGCCTTCTAGTCTGTCGACTTCCTCGACGATTCCGCGCTGGCGGCTAGCTTCTTCTTCCTTGTAGCTAGGTCCGGGAGTGCGTGCGTCGAGCATGAAGGAAGGCACCGAGGAGAAGGATCTGGCGGGAGGGCGTAAGGTGGGCGAGGCGGATGGCTCGGAGCTTGTACCCATCGTTGGAACACTCTTAGCGGTGAACGAGGAAGTGAGGCTGTGTTCCACGTAGGCGCGGAGGAAGTTGCGCTGCTCTTGAGGGGTTGGGAATTTGGTGTGGTGCACGAAGTGGGGGGAGACAGGGTCATGGTAGTTGCACATCCATTCGCACTTGGTCAAAAATTAGACCCTATAGGTTATTCTGAAAGGGCAGGGAAGCGTCACGTACAAAGTGGTTCGCAAACTCAAATCCAGGAGCACTTGCGCCGGAATATTCGAAGTCGATAACAATGAGCCGCCTATGTTCATTGCTCGGAATCAAAAGCGGGCTGTTCCCACTAGCCTGCAACCTCATGATATTCCCGTATTGAGTCTAACACCGCAGCCTTTAGCTATTGAACTATGGAAGTCGAAGGAATATCCACGTACGTCGTTGTGCGCAAAGACCATCTCCTTCTTCACGTTTTCTTCGCCACCGGACCTGCCATACAGCCACTCCTTATACCTCTCAACAGCTATCTCAAACCTTTCCCATGGACACCCACATATATAGCCCTTTTTGCCCAAATTCTCAGCAGCATCTAGGTAGGCCATGATCTTCCTTGTTCTAGAAACCCACTTATACCAGTTGCACCAACTGACCGGCCCCATTTCTCTCTCCCTATCTTCGAGTTTGACACCTTCATGCAGCTCCTTCAACCTCTTTGCAATGTGCCTGGAAGTTTCCGGGACTCTGATATCATCGCATATAAGAGTTGTTGCGTTAAAGAATTCCTCGAACCTTCCATTTTCAAATGTGCCCAAAAGACGAGGACCGATTCTCTTGCGGGCTAAGCGGCGAAGGATACTCAATTCGGCCTCGCGATCGATAATATGAGAAACTTGGGGTCCGTAGATACGAAGAAGCAATTTTCTAGAAACGTTATGTTAGGGGGCCTCGCATTCAGGATCCAAAATGTGGACTTTGGGGATAGAGAGAAGCACTGAAAACACGTACGCTAAGGGCTTGGGCGGGCGGGTGGACGTTACACTGGCTTGAGAATCATTGGCAAGGGCAGTCATAGGGTTGGAAGAGGCAGAAATATCTTGCGGGGGGGAGACCATGTAAACCTTGACACCAGAGAGGACCCGCGATTAGCAAAAACCCAAAATTCTCGCAAAAACAATTTCACCCTCGGAATACTTCATATCTCAAGCGCATGTCTGTCATCCACTCGCCCGCCTCCAGCTCCCACAGCCACTTGGGGGCATGGTATGTGCATGATTTCGGGTAAATCAGTTACAGGGAGGCCGTATATCGAGCGTAGCGGGATGTGTAGGGCTGTATGTGCTATGTTTCTTGCTACAGGAGCTTTCACCGCAGGTAACACGCATATCACGGGAATGAGGCTCCCGCCTCTTGCCCAGGGAAATGGCCTACAAATGGATAATCAAAAAGTCAGACTAACAAAGAATAAACTCACGGTGTTAGTCAAGGCGCCACTAATCCTCTCAATGGCTACGTCCTTGAACCTATCCAACGGCACCCTTCTCCAGCCCTTACACTTAAGTGTATGCGCCAATGTCAAAACTTGACGCTTGAACTCGTCAATTCCGACCTCCCCAACAGTTCTTAGATACACTTCACAGGCGGGAGCTACAGGTTCTCCGTCAGAAGCATAGTCGGAATCCGATGCGCTACCTATTAACGATCTCGCTCGGGACCTCCTCCCTGAGGAGTCTCTCTTGCCTGGCGTGCTTTGGCGGCGACTAGGAGCAGTGGATGAAGAAGCCTGGACCGCCGCAAGAATAGCCTCCAGCTGGTTCCATGAATCCTGTGTCCCTTCATCGCTACTAGAGTCTGAGGCGGCAGGAATATCACCATCACCCATTGATTCACTTAGTGGGCGGTGCATGTGTAATGCTTGGTGAACGGCTCTCTTAGCAGACCTCTTTCTCTCGCGGCGGTCTTCCTGTCGTTGCTTCTCATTGTGAAGCCATGCCTTCACCCGCTCGGCCAGAATGACACTCTGTTCACTGTTGGATACACTCCCGGTTGAGGCCATGTATTGTTCGCGGGTGGGTGTATAATGCCGGCCGCCCGGGTTTTCTCGACTGCCCGTATTCTCCTCGAATGGGTGTGGCCTTTGCAGTAGAGTATCCCGGGGGTCCGTGGAATGCGGGGAGTTCGAACCAGGCATGGTGGGCAGACGACCGACGAGACGTTTGCTGCCGGTTTTACGGTGTAAACTTGTGGGAGAGCAGCTTTTGCGGCTCCCCGTGGTATTTTCTGAGGAGGGAGGGACGTTGGTAGGTGGACTCTCCCCTGCGAGGATGGAGAGCGTTGCGGTGATTGTCAGCCTAGACAATACACTAGGAAGTGGTGAGGGGAGGGGATCCCGAAGATATCCTTACCGACAGTTTCCAGCGATGGAGCCGAAGACATTTCGGCCAGATCCGCACACGAGGGGTTATTCATATACTGTATACGGTGTCGGGATCAATTCGGGTCACAAGGCGTACCGTATTACCGTACAGCGAAACACGAGTGCACGGCAGTTCCCAGATGACCCCGTCAATTGGGCGGAGGATCGGGTAAGGGGGGCAATTGGGGGAAGAAGGATAACCTTGGCACGATTAGAGGAAGAAGAAGAAGCGAGAACCGAGGGATAGATGGCTCGCTACAGCACAAATAGTACGGTACCGCACGGCGAGTCTAGGGGGGAAATCCAAGGCCCCCGAACACGCTTGCACTATCGATCTTGCCACGGCAGAAACTCTTGAAGAAGGGAACAGGAGAAATGCTAAAGGTTCTTGGTACCTCAGACATTCCTCGGACAACTATGATGGCAGTGATAATTGGAATAATACATTGTCGGATTTCAATGCTGGTCATCGGTTTTCGAAAGCTGGTGCAGCCTTAAGGACAAGGCTTGACCCGAAGTGATATAACTTTCTCTTTCTTTCTTTCTTTTTCTTTTACCAACCCCGCCAGTGGTGACATCTGTTAAGACATTGTGGGGTACTCGAGTACGAGTACTCAAACTTTGGTCGAGATCTTGATGAATCCGGGATGGTAATTGGCAAGCAAAGATGGTTGGTGCGGTCCTGATCCACGGCTCAACTAAACTCAACCAACCCATCTGTCCATCTCACGGTGAAACCTTTCCTCTAACAGCCTCACGGCTTCTGAACCTGTTCTGGTACTTTCCATCCCTTTTTGAGGATCCTCAAAACCTGTTGTCAGGTTCGCGAATTCTATTGGCCGTTTTGCTAGTGACAGATCAACATCTTCTGGACCCGACCAAGGCTTGAGGACCCTCACTAGAGAGTTTGCGCCCGCAAACCTAGGTGGCGGTAAATTTCATTGATATGATATCATAGGAAAAAAAACGATTTCACCTGGACTCGACCAAGAGACTATCATACTAGTGTGCTAGACTGGTGTGATAACCAACTACACCACATTGTTAATGGAAATGGTTCCTTTCTGTCCTACTGAAACTGAACCCAATTCAGCCCGTATTCGTTGGGAGGCCAAGCCGTACACATCCCACTCCCCCTCCGTCAGGTCCAACGGGTATGCTAGGAAATGCTCTCTTATGTCGGACACTAAGAGTACGTACCGTAAGAACTCGAATAATTGAACCTGGAGCTAGGACGTCGGTGTTGCCTCTACTGGTATGGTGCGGTGTTTTTTACTTTTCTTTTATCTCAAGCAGGGGCTCGGGGAGTCGGTTTTCGCAGTGCTCTCAGCCCCCTATCCAGGAGAGGGAATTCTGAACGTTCTAGCGCGAGGTTCAATTATTCGAGTTCTTACGGTAGTTGTTGGGTCCTTCCATCTTTCGGTACGGATGGGATAGACAGAGGTGCATAAAAGAATACCATAGATGGACGGGCATCATAGCGTCGATCCTGGCTACTGCCCAGGATGTACGGGTAGGCCTTGTACTGTAAGTGTCTCAAGATGGGGAATATGCCAGGCAACTACCAGTGATAGCTGGGCACTGCAGATGATGGCCGGAAGATCCCTTTGTTACTAGGACTACAGGGCCAGGGCATCAACTCCTAGGACTACCGTCTTCATAAAAGATGGACGCCATTTCCTGCTGTCCTTATCTATCCTGCCCAAGATGCCTAGGGCAGTTGGGAACACTGACTATCACAAAAAAATAGGTGCTACAGTTTATTCCAGTAGCAGCCCCCCTCATCTAACCTGAGAATGTTGAAGAATTCTGCTGGGCAGAGATTTTTTAAAACAATTGAAACAACGGTGAACAAACGAATCAGAAATCAGATACCAGCTTTCTCCAGCCCCCGTCAGCCCCTCCATTTCCCTCAAGAGTTAATCTACTCACATCCCGAACCTCCATCTACTACATCACCCAAACCGTGAGTCGTATCTCCCACTCCCTACTCGGCCAGTGTTCCCAACCGTCCAGTCCGTCCGTCCTTGGCTTCGGACGGGACGGACACCGGTTTCTGGAACTCTGCCCTGGGCGAACGCCCGTCCTGTGGTCCGTCCTAACCACTATCCGGGACGGCCGGCCGGCCGAGCCCTGCAAATGGTCCTGCAGATGAGAGCCGGGCCCTGCAGATGATGGCCGGACCCTATACATGACGGCCGGGCCCTATAGACGACGGCCGGGCCCTGCAGATGACGGCCGGGCCCTGCAGATGACGGCTGGGCCCTGGTGAGGACTGCCGGAAAGGCTCCATTTGTATTAAGACTCCCGGGCCCGGGCATCAACCCCTTGGACGGCGGTCTTTATCAAAGACGGACGCCATGCCCTGCCATCCTTACCCACCCTGCCCGGGACGCCCGGGACTACAAGCCCACCAGGGCCCTGTAGGGCACCCGGGACGGTTGAGAACACTGCCTACTCCTCCAGCAGCTTACGAAATCAGCTTCAACTACAATTTCAAGCAAGAGTTGCTCAAGGTTCACTTACAGTTCGCTTATCCAGATTCACGAGGTTGCCTTAGAGCGCCGCCGTCCAGACATCGTCGTAATAGTCTCGAAGATCTTTTGTCGTAAAGGTAAAATTTGCTTGGCCTCGAACTAGGTCTGGTACTCGAAGGAATATTTTTTCGAATTTAAGCACCAAGGTACCTCCCCTAACACAATGAGCGTTGATTTTGATTGAACCCTTGATTGTCGGTCTGGTTGCCATTGAATTGAGGTAGGCTCGTGTAACGCGTGAATGCGCTGCGGATTCCATTTCCCAATGTTCGATATGGATAGTTTTAGCAGCCTTGGATGCATAAAAGAGAAGAGCGATTTTAACGTCGCCTCTCGAGTTGTGAAGCCACCAATGAGCATCGACCATCAACCGCTGCGGGGATTCCGAAACACCAGACTCCAAGACAATCGTCGGCCAATATGTGACACAAGGGCGTGCCACACGAGGTTTGAACCCCCCATCCGCTTCTTTTCTGCTTGAAGTACAGTCACACCTTACTCTCCCGGATTCTTCGCTGTCCCGGATGAATTTCTATGAATTATAAATTTCTTTCACACCAAAACCAAACCCCCGTCCCGGATAACTCGCTGTCCCGGACGGATTCTCAGGATTTTGGCCGTCCGGGACAACGGGGTGCGACTGCACCTTGAAAGGTCGTGCTACCCATACTGGGAAGAGCACGTCTCAATCCCATCCCAGTTACCTTTTCCACCAGGGCAGATGCAAATGCCTTGGTAGCAAGCTCGTGGGGTCCACTCGGCATATCCTTGACAATCAATGTTTCTGGATCATTGAGATACATGAAGCGTAATCGGTTGTAGCTTGTATCGCGGATGTTCTCAATGTTTGCAAGTTGAGCCTGCGTCACGGGGGAAAAAACAAGGTAGGGGCATTGGGATTCGTCAGCATTACCCAAAGTGAATTGGCCGGCTCGGGAATCAATGGCTCCTGTAAACGAGTGCTTATTTCGATATTCCCGGTGTTCTGCACCCTCTAACCCTTCGGTGAGATAATAATCTGTGTCGAGTTCAATAGGCTCTTGGAGTTCGGAGATTGCGGGGGTTGGAGAGTCACGCACTTATCCGGCGAGCTCGACAGACATTCTTTCAGAAGTTGGTGGTCGATTAGGATACTGAAGAAAGTGATACCGCTTAGGTGGTATGAGTATCAAAGCCTGTAGGTTGTGGGTTTTGAAGGCTGTGAGAAGCAGGTGTGGTGCTCTGCCGCATGAAATCAGGGGATGCTCATTGGCACTCAGGTTCGTTGTAGTCTTATTATTATTTAGTCATGTGATGTCCGCTGAAATTATCACACGTCATACAAGTTTTACTGCCGAGAAAATGTAGACTACTGTACTGTATGAATGCCTCTGCCCCTCCACCAGTGACAAGGGTTTAATAGACTAGGTCCTATGTGCTGGACTACTGTGAACTCTTGGTAAATCCACCATCGGGGATCGGGGGCTGTTTGTCTGGCCACAGGTTTGAACTCGCCGTGGGGCATGTCACTTCTTTGCATACATTTCACGTCTTCGATGCCATATCCTGCGGTCAATGGTATCCAAAAAGCTCACCTGGAAAGAAACAATAATAATGATATCAACCCTCTAAAATGCTATTCCTCTCCCCCTATCCACCTACTCGCCCTTTACCGGGAGGCGTACTGTACCCCCCCTAGCCTCCCCCCAGCCATCTCTGGCCCCCTCCGCCTCACCCCCCTTCCTCTCGCGGCTTGGAGACGCGTTTGTCCATGATTTGCAGAAGTATCGGGACAGTTCCGGCAAAGACTGTGGCGAAGGCCATCGAGTGCGTGGACAGCGTGGCTGAACAAAGAATTAAGTCCGTTTGTAACGTTGATGTGGGAAAGCAAAGAAAAAACCGTGAAATTGGCTTGACAAACAAATGGGCTTTACAAACAAAGTGTAGGAAACAAAAAAGGCATGCGTGTTTTTTTTTTGATGTTGTTTGATTGATGGTTGGGAATATCCGCTATTTTTTGGGTGTGTGTACCCTCGACTAGCCTGCCGTAGTGGTTGCAACTCTTGTCTTAACCGTTGTCCGAATGATTCGCTATGTCGAACACCTGCCTGTCCTGTGGGGGGTCGGGACCAACCCATTTCGAGGATTCTGCCGGAAGACTTATCTGCACGAATAGTGGCTAGGTCGTTAAGGATTCTTTTATTGTTTCCAAAATTTCTTTTGGAGATAGAAGTGGGGCTGCTAGAGTTCAGGGGAGTTATGTTTCTGAAGGACAGACTCATCTCGCGGGGGTGGGGGAAGGTTCAGGAATGGAAATAGTCTTGAGAGTCGGGAACAGATAATTCAGAATGGTGGGTTTGTCCTATTTTCTACTCGCACCCTATGTTACTCCTGATATATATTTTTCCTTCTGGACTGACGAGAGCTTCTAGGACGTTGCAAAATTGTTCAACTCGCCGGTGCTGTCAATGTCCTGAACATTTTGCAGATCACGCGCAACAATGGTTCTCTTTACCCGTTATGCACAACTTCAACGGAGGTGGCAAAACACAATTCGTCGTCGCCTGTTCTCTACACATTGTCTGTCGTCTCGAAAAGAGTTCCCATATCCTCATTGACTTCTCGGAAATACTAAATGTGAGTTTCCGCTCGAAGTCGACGGGTTTCTTTCTCCTAACAGCGCTCCAGGTGAATGTCTTCTCACTCAGCCACACCTACCTTCAACTCGTCCAAATCCTGCAAGTCCGGTTACCACACATAGATCATACAGCCTACCTCTACCGCTTCGCAAAGCACCTTGAATTCGGCTGCGAACAGACTGAGGTCTCTTACGACGCCCTCCGTATCATTCAACGTATGTCCGGCAATTGAATGGTCCAAGGCTATAGGCTATCGGGTATTTGTGGCGCCGCATTGAGCCCCACAGCCCGCATGAAGAATTTCCGCCGTTCTGTTAGGGAGGTGGTTTACGTTGTTAAAGTAGCAGACTTGAGTATTCAGAAGCGGCTGGATGAATTTCAGGATACTAAGAGCGGAGACTTGAGTGTTGAATGATTTAGAAATATATGGTTGGAGCAAGCGCACGACCCACCCAGCTATAGGCCGAAAGCCTCAAAGAGGCGCAAGAGGGTTAGGAATGTTAATGATGAGGGAGAAGTCATCGAGGATCTGCCAAGAATATCACTATTGTCGCTGCTCTCGTAGATCTAAGAGCAGCTCCCAGCACCCCCCTGGACCCCCCCTGGGACTCCTCCTAGTGCTCCTCTCAGCGCCCCAACGCTACTTGTACTTCTCGATAAAGTAATCAGACTGGGCGTAGATGGCTTTGTAATCCCAGAACTCCCCGCCCCTTTGCTGCTCCCAATCTCCTCACTCCCCGGAACAACAATCGACACCATGGACCCCCCCACACCGTAAGGCGTCGAAAAGGCCCAAGGTGACCACCGCTCCGCCATAGTGGAGGAAGTAATCGAATCCGAGATCGCCTCTCTACTAGATGTCTCTGCGGCATCCATCATGGAAGAGCTCCGAGAGGACGACCGGCAAGTGCGCGTGGGGGTGCGCCCCCTCTACTAATCAGACGACCCAGACAACCTCGATGAGGTCGACGACGATTTTGAAGTCTAGAATGCTCTGCTCCCCAGAGGTGGATGCGACCTGGGGGAGAAAATCTGGGTGGAGCTTAACATGGGCTACTTGCATGAACAAGAATGCCAGATCTTCCCTTTTTTTCCTTTTTTCCTTTTTTTTTAAAAAAAAACTCCCCTCTCCTCCCAACGGGTGCTATTATGTCTAACATGGATATTATAGTGAAACGCCTGAAGAAGGAAACTGACCTCCGCAACGGTATCATCAAGACTGCCAAAAAACGCAAGAGGAATAAGCTCCGCAATACCAACAGCAAGGAAATAGCTGCTACCCCTGCCGACCATGTGAAGGAGATGCTCATGCGGAGGAGTTGTTCAGAGAAGATCAATTATAAAGCGATCGAGGGGCTTTTCGAGGATCATTAAGTGAGAGAGGGGGTCGTAGAGAATTTCTTTCTTTTTTAGGGATTCTAATTCAGACAGTCAGTGTGCATATATCTGGGTGGGTGAATTATAGAGATTGGGCGCTTGTTACTGTTCTTAGTGGGGGATTAGAGCATGGTGGTGGAAATGTCTGTGTTCATAGGGGATCACTCGCGAGGACGGTTTTCCTAAGTGAAAACTGAAGTTGACCTTAAATAGAGAAATGTTTTGATCCAATATTCGGTCATCAAATAATAACAGCAAAACAAAGACTATATATACAAACATCCAAGTTCAGCGCAGCCATCATTCCATTCCAGCCTTCATCCACAAGCCACTCATTCCGGACCAGAGAATGCAAGCCCACAGCTTCAAGTTCATTCCTGACCCAGGAATGAAATCTACCAGTCACTTAGTATGCGTAGCACATTCTAGACAACACTGGGGTGTACTTTTAGCTGGGATCCAGAGCGTATTTAATTTTACGCTTATTTAGTCTGATAGGGTTTTCTTTATTGTTTCACTGCGCCAGAAAATTGCGTAGTCTCACAGTTTCTATCCTACTCGTGTCTCTGAGTCGAGAATTGGCACCTGTTTACCTTTTCTATGGGCTTTCTGTAGCCATTCCGGGGTGATGGGCCAATACTTGGTGGGAAAGTAGTGGTGGATACTTGGTTGTAAAACGGGTTCTCGGGACACAAATGTATTATAGCAGAAAAATCCGTCAGGGGGAAAAGTAGATCTGTTAAGCACTTCTAGAGGAAACAGTCCATTCACAGGGCCCCTCCCATTTTGCTGCTATAAGCTCAAGGGGTACCAAGAGGGCAGTCACAAGTTTATTTACTAGCAAATATAGCACGCTCCCTGAAGACTCTCAGGCGCTTCACCCCTCCGTCAGGAATGATGACTATTTTAACATGGGTGACCGCTTTTCCGTTAATGTTCTGGAAGAGGGTGTACTCGAATGCAGGTTCCTTATCCGCCTCACAAGAGTGTGCAGGAATGATAAGTTCCTATCCACTGGCATCGCCGGCGATATGTTGGTCGGGGGAATTGATAGTGTAGATTTCAAGGCTTGAGGATAGTTTTGAAAGACGAGATCTAAGGGCGCGTCTGGTCGTCCCGAGTTTTTCAAACCTTGATAATCACAAAACCTGATTTGCAGGCTGCAACTGAAATAATCGCAAGTTGTTATAATTGGGAGTTTTCACACTCCCAGAGGTGTGTCTGGTTGCCTGAAAAATCAATTCCAAAAAGGTCACTCAAAAAAATCAGAATAATTAATATGCGAAACATATTGGCACCTGTATTTCAATACTTTTTTTTTTAAAATTTTTTTACTCCACTATTGGTAGTGGGAGTGGGTTATTGTAGCCAATGTGTGCCACTCCAAAATGAGAGTTTGTGAAATACTGGTCAGACCAGTATTTCAGAAACCTTTCATTTTGACATCATTATTGCATTTTAAATATTGTGTTTTGGTGTCAACCAGACATGCCACTCAAAAGCAAAATAGCATTTTGTGACAAACCCTCATAACCTAGGTCAAAATGAAGGTTTGAGGTGGCAGCCAGACGCGCCCTAAAAAAACTGATATGGTTCCGGCCACCTATACACAACACCTCGATTGACGCAACGGGGGACGCCTCATCACACAATGCCCTATCGATATTGCCCTAACCAATCCTTTGATACTGTGTAGTCAGCAATGGAGAGTAAGCCCTCTCCATGAAC